ATTCAATGCTTGGGAATATTTGAAATATAGTTTATTAGTCTCGATCCATCGAATTTTGAAACCTTGAAATTTTTCAGTGACTTTTATGTAGTTGTAATAGTAATTTATGGATTGCAATTCTTTTTGGTATAAAACATCTATAAAAAATCAATCGCTCCTGAGAGCTGAAAAGGTATTTACACTACATTATCTATATCTTAAGGTATCTATACTACATTATCTATACCTTAAGGTATCTATATATAGCGTAGATACTCGATTAAGTATAAAGTTTCTATGAAAAATACTTGACTTAGCCGCGAAGAGGGGCTGAGACCGGGTCGATTATTTCGTCGAGATGGGCGGCGCCGATCGTACAACTTGTCTAGCCTCGATCTGACGTCACTTCCCCCTAACCTGACTCATCCCTCTCACCTTCATGCAAAGGTGGACAGTTAAAAGCCACCATGTATGGCCATCTGCTCCATTATATGCAACAGCAACGGGCAAATAATATAATTTAAACAATAATAACATTAAAGAATCATCACTTTTCAAATACTTTAGGTAAATAATTCAAATATATACATACCCTGCAAATGGACAAACAATATGGATGCTAGAAAAATATTGAATATTGTTATAGTAATATAACAAAAAAGAAAAATTGCATTAACTATTAAAAAAAAAGTGAAATTAAGTAAATGTAACGGGACTTTAAGAGAAATTTTGAACATTAATATCGACCAATGGTCACTAGCGGTTCTAGTATTTAATATTTTTTGCGGGGAGGGGGGGCTTCAGGCCGAAAGCTTTTTTTTCGTTAAAATAACGATAATTACTTTGGAAAAAAGAAAGAAAATAACTACCTGTATGAAACGGTATTTAAGTGATTCCTAAAGTCTTTTTAAATGTAATTACACGAACAACAATACTTTAAGAGGTATTTTTTTCCATAAAACATGGTTATATTTTACCATTTTTGGGGGGAGGGAGGCTTCAGTCCCAAAGCCCCTCTCTCCTCCCCCCCCCACCAGAGATCTTTTCTAGAACGGTTGTTCCAGAAAAGCAAAGAACGATATGAACAGTATTTGAGATTAACATAACTATTTTGATTAGGTTATACAGTTATCTATTCTTATCAATTACTATAACTTGGCTAAAATTACAGAAAGAAAAGAAACACCCCTATCTTATCAATGCATTAACTATTATTCATTCATACTAAGATCTTGTTTTTTTTTTAGCAATGTAAAGGGTGATTACTTTTTACAAGCTGTTAAACGAGGAATATTTATATTTTTTTTCATAAAAATAACGATAATTACTTTGGAAAAAAAAAATAAACTAACTACCTATATGAAATCGTGTTTAAGTGATTCCTTTTAAATGTAATTGCAGGAACAATAATTCTTTTATGATAATTTTTTAATATTTATTTCCATAAAACATGGTTATATTTTACCATTTTGCGGAGGGGAGCTTCAGTCCCAATGGTTTAATTCTGACAGTAGATCTTTGTAAATAGGTTAAATTAACAGAAAATGTAATCTTTTATCGAATTTTAATTTTCTACACAGTCGTTTATTTAATCATTCATAATTGACAACATAAATTGCACCAGTAATAGACGCTCAGGATTTGGTGTCAATAACTTTTTCATATAATTCAAAAAATAAATTATGGACAGTTTTAAAGTAAGAAATGGCAAACTATAGATGGATGAATCAAAATTTTTAAATTTATTTCCTAAAGAAAAGAAATAAGAAAACCTCCCTAAAACAAAGACCAAGTCTTGGTCCATTGAAAAATCAACAATCAATCCTCTATACTGACATCACTAAAGATTAAGACATGTTTCCAATAAGTGTGTTAACTACATGTTATATTTGCACTGTCTTTTGAGCTTATTAAACTTATTATCTGTTAATATATTGAAAACTATAATCACAAGTATTTTGTCTATTACTGGTAGATTTACTCTTTAACTGAAAAATTTGCAAAAAGTGCATTTTGGTTTAAGGTTAACTTTTAAGTATGTTTTTGTAAATTGTTAACTTATAAGTATAGGATGATGAATAAAAAAAAAATAATAAGAAGTATATTTTATGAATATTTGAAATTCATTCAAGGATCAAAATTAATATTTATAAAAATAGCAGATCAAGAATTAATTGACCTATGAAATTCTGTTTGGGTCAAATTGGTCTGTAATAAAACAGTGACTGATAAATGATGGAGCGATATACAAAAAAAAAATTGATATCTTGATTTTATAATTAAAGTTAATTGAATCAGTAACCAACCTAATTATTAAATTATTGCAAAGATATTCCAGTGGATACTTAATTGCAAATTTTCAACTCAGGTTAAGAAACTGAAAAATTATATTGTTTTTTAATGACAATGAAAAAAAACAGGAAATTGTTAAAGTATTACAAAAAAATGCTAAATGATTCCATAGTATTATTCTAAAAAGAAATGTACTTCGGTAAAAGTATAAAAAAATGTTAATCACACATTAAAATAGAAAAAAAAGAAAAATTATAAAAGAAAAGAAAAAAATAACTGAAATACTAAAAGTAACTAGAAGTTATTGATTTCAGATACAACAGTAAGCAGGGGTGCCCAGGCGGGGGTTTCATGGTTTCATCAAAATTTTTAAGGGGGGCATAATTTGATGGGATCATGAGTTTTCGAACTAAGGGACGACAAGAGAAAAACATGGAACAGATTGCAGCAAGTGTAATTGTATATTGTCTGCAATTTTTCTAATTTTGCTCTGTTTTTTAGAAACAATCAGCAATAAAATATCTTGGAAGAAGGAGGAGGGAGTAGATTCTAGCGCCTTCGACTTTGGGAGGGATTGGCACCCCTGACAGTAAGAATGTTTCAGTCACACATAAAAACTACATATATAGTGGACAAAAGTATGAAGTTAAATAAAACATATTTAACTAACATGACAGGAATTTAAATCATGCTATATTTGGACGTAAATGCAACAAAAAAATTTAAGGAACTCTTGATAAATTCACACTGAATTAAATAAAGGATCAAAATTTTCTTTCTTCCGTGATAAAGAAACATTAAACAAGTATTAGAAAAATGATGAATACAAATACTTAATTTAAGTGATGAATAATTTTATATTCCTAACACATTCTCATCTAAAGTACTAATATAATATTAATTTCTAATATATACTTTAAATTTTTTTTTTTAGCTGGAACAAAAACTCTTGTTAATTTCATAACACATTTGATTTAATAATTAAACTTAAGAGCTGAAGATCTTAAAAAATTAAAGAGAATTAAGCTAGACTAGACAGTAATTATTTCCTTGATGATGGCCAACATGCTTGAGCCACATGGCCAATGAGAAACATTGGAAAGACCAATAAAATATATCTAAATTCAAATCCTATCCATTTTTCATCCTCATAATTTTAAAATAACAACCCAAAAATATATCCATATTTAAAAAAATAAAATTTCATTTTTAAATAAATTAAAATCAAATAATTAGAAATAGTTGCAAAATGTACGGAGTCAAACAAATGATTTATATAAAATTTATAAACCTGGAAATGATAGAATGAATTGATTATATATTATTATGATTTGAAAGGACAACTATGGCAGGAAGGAAATAGATATAGATCTTCTCAATACTGGTGATCACAGTGAGTGACAATCTCTGAGCCAACTGGGTTTAAAAATGGTTAAAAAACATCACAAAAGAAAGGTAAATTATTTTAACTTATACTTCATATACTACAAAAAGTTAATACCATAGTGATATTTATAAGTATAACCACAATCTATACAAATTTTTTAAATAAAATACAGTGAAATAAAAGTTATAGAATACTTATAAGAAGAAATATCAAATTTCAACTTATTACTAGGAAACATTTAAAAGCAGGTGGAGGAATAGAACACATGGAATCTAAATTTAATATTTGTAAAATTAGATTTTTAACAGAACTGAATATTCAAATAATATTATAAATTGTTAATCTTGTTATGTCAAAACATGTCAGACTTTTAAAAATAATTTATTTGCATTACAAATACATTGAAATAACCACTTTGTTAATCCAACAAAAAGCATAATGTGTGTACAATGAGTATTACTTTGAGGATTTAACTTTAAATATGTATTAATGCTAAAAGAAAACATGATCAATCATATAATTTATACACCAACAATTAATTAAGAAATTTGTGTAATATTACTAGACTAATAAAATGTATAAATAATGGCTGGTAGTATATCTTTCCTTTAACATCAACTTAGTATAATTAAGAAGATAATCAGAGGTAATTAAAAGGATTAATGGAATAAATTTCAAGATGGAAGAGATATAATTTGCACCTTTATTCTGTAATAGTGATCTAATAATGAAATAGTAGATAAAATGATATAAATATAATTAAATTAATGATATAAAAATATATATGTAAAATAAAATTCATTCACTAGGATTTTAGTTTCACTTCTACTATCAGACAACACCTAATCAACTTTTTTGTTAATACTTCAAAAAATAAATATTTTAAACCTTAAAAAATGTTACATCCAAGATTTGATATTTACACAAATCTATCAAAATAAAAATTAAAACTTTGACCCAATAAGTAATTGTTTTGACAAGGCAACAGTAAAGTAAAAGCCCTCAACTAGAAAATCAATAATGTGGAAATGCAGTTGAGAAAATGTGGTGCAACATTTGTCTTTTCTTTTAATTATTTTAGAACTGATATAAGCAAATCTAAATAAAAAATAAAAAAGTAAAACTTTTATTTTATGTTGCCTTATAGATAATATTTGAGTGTAAAATTATAATAATTGTATTCATTTTTATATTTTTTGTTATATTATAGATTTCTAAAAGAAATAGATACAAAGTTATCCCTCCTCCAAAAAAAAAAAATAAAAATAAAAAAAAGCAATCATCACCAAATCCCAATCACCAGCTATAAAAAATCATGCAATTAAGTAAATAAAAAACTTACCAATTTCAACAATGATATCTTTGGCTCCAATATCTCCTACTGATGGAGTCTTTTCCTCTTTTTTGGGTGCTTCTTTCACCTCTACAGGTCTTGGAGGAGTTACTGTTTTTGGTTTAAATATTTCTTCATCGTCTTTACTGGGCTCCATAGGCTTAAAATCTGGCTCAGGACTAGACTCAAATCTGTCTGGTGATTCATCTCTTAAATTCTGGTGCTTGGGTATCGGAGGAGGAATGGGAGAATCTTCCCGGCTAATAGCAACAGGGGAATCACTTGCAGCACCTACAAATTCACTTCCATCTTCTTCTTTTTCTTGAGTATTCTGGATGTCGGTAGTGGCTTCAGATTTAAGGAAATCTGAAGTCGATTCGAAAGGTTCTGGGGGTAAAGGTTTATTGAAGCCAAATGATTCTGGTTCTGGTTTGATTTCTTTTACAGGTTCAGAAATTTCTTCAGGTTTACTCTTAGCTTCATTAAGGAAGTCATTCACAGCTGTAATCGTAGCAGGATCAGATTTTCCTGTATCTTTACTACTATCTAGATCAATTTCTTTTTCTAACTGGGGTTTAGTGTGTGATGGAGAAGTGTCAGACTTATCTGTAAATAAACTAGATTCAATAGTGGATGAAATATTGGAAGATTCAGTTTTAGCTGGGGCTAGAGGTTCTTCATGTGGGGCTAGGGCATCAGAACTTCCTATCAAATCTGCAATAGTATTACTAGTCAGACCAGTGAGAGAAGAGGTATCATTTTCTTGAGTCGTGGACGGTTCCATTTTAACGATACTCTGACGAAAACTATCAAGAATACCAAATTAGAACTCGTAGACTTATATCATGAAATAATAGTACACAAGTATCTGAGGTCTACTTACTGAACCGGCTTCGAGACACGGAGGAAGTGCACTATGATTTGACAGATAAAGAGATTGTATTCAGCTTCAGTGTTACCTCCCCCCACTCCTTGGGTGATTCATTCTAATTTCCCCTCTCTTTTATTTTATGTGTCAGTTGATAAAATTGCTGTTAACTTGTATGTCCTTTAATTTTTTTTTTTTCGTTTTACAACATGTAATGACAATACGTTTCATTCTGATATCAGCGATTATATTAGTTTGCCTAAGGACGGGTGGAGTAGTGCCGGCAAGATTTGTTCGTGTTATTCAAAGTTAATTTAATGTCACAATGACTTTAAATAACATTTCTTCCAACGAAACTGCCAAAAATATTAAAATTAAGAAACGAATCACCAACGGTATTATCAACGAAGATAAAAATGGGTTATCAAACTGCGAAACTGCCAAAAGCTGTCCAGTTAGTACACTTCTTTATAACCTTCAACAATTTTTAAATTCATCTATATTTTTTTATTATAGGATTCATTAGTTTGATTCTATTTTATTAATTCTTGGAAATATTCTTCAATAATGATTCTCTTTCTTCAATAATCTCTTGAAACAAATGCAATGTGCAAAGTAACTGTTAATGTATTTCAATTATTTTGACCAACATTCAACTGAATTTTGGTTTTCTCTTTTAGAAACCTATCCTAAATGGAACAGTTCCTAAAAATAAGAAAGAAGGATCTTCCAAAGTAGCCTTGTTTACAGCTATGAAGACTTATGTAAAATTTCATATACTGATGTTTCTAGATTACATCAATCAGATATTTTCTAGAAAGGTTGTTCCAGAAAAGCAAAGAAAGGTATGCACAGTATTTGAGAATAACATAGCTATTTTGATTACGTTATCCAGTTATCTATTCTTATCAATTACTATAACTTTACTAAAATTACATAAAGAAAAGAAACACCCCTATCTTATCAGTGCATTAACTATTATTCATTTATACTAAGATCTGTTTTTTTTTAGCAATGTAAAGAGTGATTACTTTTTACAAGCCGTTAAACGAGAAATTTTTATAAACCGATAGAAGATTTGTAATTAATTTGATGAGCATGTCAAAATAAAAGTCAGAATTTATATTTAAATACTCATTTGTTAACAAATTATTGAATTAAACTTTGTTATTTATTCATCATTTGCTAAATTTCTTGTTTGTTTTAGTTGCCAACACAAAATGGAACCGCCCATAACGTCAAAGTATCCAAGGAATCCTTTGAACAACCTGCTTTGCATACCGCATTGATGACATATCTGGGATTTTATATCTTAATGTTTCTGGGTTACATTAATCAATTTTTTTTTGCTCCTAAAGTCGCCAGGGAAAAAAATAGAGAGGTAAGTTATTATTTTTGATAGTTTTTACAATACTTATCCAAAAAAATCTTTTGTTTCACAAAGATGAAAAAAAAAAAACACATTAAAATTAGTAGAAACATCATAAATTACAATAGACCTGTTTAACGGTTTTTGTTCTTCTGATTGTATGAGAACCATAAACTATAGTATTCTGTTTTATGCTCGTTAAATCTTCTGTTGACCACGTTCATAATGCCATTGTAATATTTCATCTTTCATCATTAAGAAGGATTAATACCAAATATATATAAGTTGTTTTTTTTTTATTTCTCGTTACTAAATATTTCAATTATTTGCTATAACTTAAAATGTTTCTATAATTTAATAAACAATTCTGTAGTATTTAAAGATTCTTATATTCTAAAATAAATTACACTTTCCTTTGTGCCAAATTAGTCAAAGTTTCAAGATATATAAACTATATTTTATTGATCTGATCATAGAATATTTAAGATAATGATATAACATTTATCTAAAGTGGTTATTATGATAATTGGAACACATTTGCACAAATTAGCATACTTATGACTTCATATTTACATATGTACAAAAGATTGATGAGATGGAGAAATAGATATTTGAATGAAGTTTTGGATAATGAATGGAGATGTTTTAGGGTTTCTAAAACAAAGTAACTCATATGATAAAGAATTTTCTGAGAAAGCTGTTCTATGAGAAGGGATGTACAAGTTTTGCAGCTGTGGCTAGAATCAAGTTTTTAAAGAGTAAATAGAGGAATATGGAGTGAAAACTTAAGAATTTATGGAGACGTTTTTATGAAACAGACTAAAGCCAATTTAACTCAGCATACCAACTCAAGACATGATAACGTTTGGGGTCTGCAAAGATGAATCTGATACAGCAATTCATTGAACCTTATTACATGACTATTTTATACAAGCCTTTACGAAAATTGTATAAAATAAGGGTAGAGGCGAGAAGCTGGCAGGTTTTTGAGAGTATAGAATCACAAATTTTTATAAACTTAGCTATTATTTCGATATTTATAGCTTTTTTTCATATAATTTTTAATTAAATTTAAATTTGTGAAAATATTTCCATTTAGTTATTTTTTTCTTTTTTACAATTATGTGATGAAGAATTATTTTCTGCAGAGAGGCATATATTTCACATCACCACTTAGGTTTAAATTTTGAATTTCCAATTTATCAACATTTAATATAAAAAAATCAAACTGAAGATATTATTACTTTATTGGTGCTTTGATGTTTACTTTGAATGAATCATTATGTTAATTTCTGTTTACTCTGATCATACCATCACTTTCTGGAACTATGAATCATTTTTATTTGTTTGTTTCTCTTTTGATTATTAAACAATAATTTAATTAATTTAAGTATGTTTTAATATTTTCTTTTTTTGTAGGGATATGTTCCACTATATGATAACTTTGAAAAGTTCTATCTTTGGTACGTATATCGTAGAGTTAGAGATTGCTGGAATCGTCCTATAACAAGTGTGCCTGGTGCCATGGTCACTGTTAAAGAAAGGGTTACACCTGACTACGGCTGGACTTTTGTGTAAGCAATTCAATTTTTTATTATTTGCTGATTCTGTTTAAACTTATTTTTATCATTAGTGATACATGATTATGTAATTCTTATAAAGGCAATTTTTCTTTTCTTTTTTTTTTCTATTAATCTATTTGTTTCGATTTATTAAAATTTATTTATTCAAAGCTCAAGATCGCAGGTTCGAAACTGGCTGATGGCAGGTAATGATTTATTACGCTTCATTGGCCGTGAATCGAACCTGTGGTCGGGAGACCCTCCTGCTACACATCCAGCCTCTATAAAGTGGATACTTTTAATTAATTTATTACTTAAGGGGCAAAATCTGGCGGTTTAGCGTGATCTCGGTCAAACCTCCTTGCATAACGGTTGACCAAGAAACAGTACTGAATCCAAGACCTTTCATGGATTATAGCGGCACAAGTTTTTATTTTGTACATTTGCCATGATCACAAGAGCTTGAACCCTATACTATTCCTAAGGTGTCCATGCATACTAGAGCTTTTCGCCAGAGTTGTGAGCTTAAAGCTACCAGAGACATGAAAACATATGACTAAATGTTGTGCTAAAAGAGTTATCCAAGTTTTTTATCTAGCATTTAAACATTACAAAACTTCCGGAATGGCACTTGTTGCATTTATTTCTTTTTACCAGTATAGATTCTCTAGTACAAAGTTTATTTTTGCTTTGATACTTGTGTTTCATTAATTATATTTTTTATCTGAAGTTAAATTTAACTACGTTTATTTTAAAATTTTGTTTCTTTTTTTTTTTTATTATAGACATTTATTGAATATTAGGAGATAGGATAAACCGCCCCAGTTTTTGGCACCCTTAAGGAAACTCCAGAACACTTTTCGATCTAGTGTTGTAAAAGAACTCAGTCAGAAGACTATAAGGCTTGAGCTTTCCTGACTCGGCCAATAGTCGAGTCCTAAGAGCTCGGCATTAAAAGGCTTGAACCTTACTTGTTTTTCCCCATATATTTATTAATGGACTTTTAAAATTGTTTTACAATTTTTATAACAGATTAAATTGTTCTACACGATGTTTGTTAGTAGTATTAAATCTTTGTAGTGTTGTGAAAGAGTTTCGGCTATAAGGCTTGAGTCCAAAAGGGTCGACTCAGCCAAAGCTCTAGTCCTAAAAGCTTCGATTTTGAGGTTCAAGCCTTACCTTCATCTATTTATTCACATTATATTTTGAAAATATATTCACATTGTAACTACCAACAGAAAAATAATATGTTCCCATTTTATTTCAGATAATTGATATTGTTACTACCATATTTACTAATTTATTTTTTTTACGAAAATGTACAAGGCTACAATAATTAAAGTTTTTTTTTTCTCAAAATAAATTAAGGATAAGTCAACACTCGAACCTTATGAGAGGTTTGAGGTCCAAAGGGTCTATAGCAAAACTTTCAAGGCTTTAGGGCCCAAGTGGTAGCTCAAGGCTTGTTTTTACACTACTTGTTTCAACAATTTCTGTTCTATCACAGTAAAGATATCTAATTTCAAAATATCTGCCTTTCATTTATAGTTTTATAGTAAAACAGAAAATTTTAAAAATATCTGTATGCACCATTTTTCCAATTTTCAGCACCCTAAAGTACCAGTTTTCGGCACCTTTTACCCAATTTTCAAAAAGCTAAAACATTAAATCTGGTAGCCATCAGAATGCAAGAACTAAAATGATATTGTGCAGGAATGTGTCTTTCTTGCCAAAAAGTTAGACAAATCCTTCCTGGGCAAAACCTGTCGGTTTTCTAATCTTCAACAATTTTTTTTGACCTGTAAATCTAAACAAATAGTGTGAAATGCTACAATAGCGCAGGAGAGATTCCTCCTTCAAATGAGTGCCTTTCGCCAGCTTTAGACCATTCCCAACATTTAATATTGTTCAATAACTGCAGTGGGTGCCAAAAACTGGATGGGATGTCGACAACTGGGAGTTTTCTCCCAAGTTTAAAAATAAAAAAGAGAGCTTTCTCTATTCTTCTTCTTGTTTTATACAGACATGCTCAATCACCTTGTTTTTTTCTGTTGTTTAGATGTTCTTATCTAATAATCACTAAACATTACAATTTATCAAAAACATCTTTTTCAAGTTACCCACAACACATCTTTTATTTTCTTCACTTCCTACACTTATGGATTACCTTATTTTATAATTCACAAATATCCCATCAACAATTATTTCAAATTTCATAAAAAATACCATACTTTACTTAATTAAAAACCACCCCTCCCTACCAATCTCCCACTATTTCCACTTTTAACTTCCCCCCACTCAAAATCCTTATAATACATAAAATTTTTTCTCCAGTTCAGTGAAAACTATCAAAAATTATATTTAATCTAACACTTCAATATAAACACAAACATAATTTTAATTAACGATTTATTTATCACTTTCTTTTCATCTCACATACTTTTTACTGCCCCTCCTTATACTTCATCACCTTATCTACCCTTTACTCATTATTTTACCTCAACACCACCCACATTTATTTCTATCAAAAAAAAATATATTCACCCTTCCAATCAACACTCCCAAACCAAACTTTCATCCACTTAATCACTCACACTCCAACAACCCTAAATCATCTTTACAACCTTCCCCAACTCTTCCCCTCTCCCCCCCCCCCCACCCACCATACCCATCCCCCATTTCCAACCCACCCCCCCCCCAAATAAACCCACTTACACCAAACATATAAATTAATAAACATCATCCTAATCCAAACAACCACCCTATAAATTACCCAATCATCATCTTTTTACCCTCCCCCCTTACCCCCCCCTCCCCATAAAAACACCCAAAAAACCCACCATACACCCCCAACCATCCATTCAAAACTACACCCCCCAACCACAAAAAACACCCCCCCCTCCCCAACACCTCCCACTTTCCAAAACAACCAACCACACCATCTCACCCCCCACCCAACCAATCCACACACAAAACAACCCCCCAATCACCTCCCGCGATAATTTGAGCATCAAATTGAGGAACAAAAGGTGGCCTACAAACATATTGGGCCTTTTAGCCTGCATAAGCTTGTTATTTTTACATTTTGGGAAAGAGATCACTCCTAACGGCTCAATATTTTTGTATACCACCTTTTTTCTCCATGTTGTGATCAAACTATCTTACGATTCAAGTAGAAAAGCAAATGGATGTTCATGAGTTTTTAGTAGCTAGTAGTAAGATGCCTCTTTTCTGAGAATTTACATTTAAAGTTGTAGGTTTTGATAATACGATGAAGTAGATTTCCAAAATTTTAGAAGGATGTTAATAATTTGATAAGAATGGGTCTATACTAAAAGAGAGATTAGGGAAAATTTGTTTTCTAATCGAGTAATTTTTTTTTTAAATGAGAAATCAACATAATTGTTCGACAAATTTTTTTAAGAATAATGATTTAATTACCTTGCCACTTCCATTGCTTTTAATTTAATAGTTTCATTACTAAATTTTCATAAGGAAAAATTATTTATTTCCTTAAGAGAGTTCATTCACATTTTGCTTTTTTCGAAAGTCATTATTTCACTTTATGTTAATCTTGTACCCAAACTGTTAATAAATAATAATAAATACAAATTTAAAAATGGTGTCTGGTTTTAGATATTCTACGCCTTATATATATTATTTTAAACTGAATATTGTATTGTTGTTGCAAAATTGATATCTCCTGAAAGCCTCTCATCATTTAAATGGATTTTATGATTTTAGATTCACTGGAAGAGAAATTCCTAGTCTAAACTTAGGATCTTATAACTATTTAGGTTTTGCAGAATCTCATAGTAAATGTGCTGACGATTCGATTGATACACTTCACAAGTATGGATGGGCCACTTGTTCCAGTAGACATGAACTTGGTAATTCTGTTTCATAGTTTGTTCTTAATTCTTTTTCTATTTTATAAACTATAAACCCTTTGGATAATAATTTTTTTAAAATAGCCTAAAAAGAAAGACATTAAAACTGCTTCATATTGACCATCATTCCTTTAATTAATATTTTCAATGTGTTAGGTATTTCTGGTTAGCTTAATAATTTGTAAAATAAAACCATATTCCAATACTTCAATATATCGTTTTTAAACTTTCGTAATATGAAATTCTAATGTATAGAAGAAAGAGATCTATAATATATATATATAAATTTAAACATAACTATTTAATTGAGAATAAGGTCACTTATTAATTATTTAATAAACTACTGAATGTTCATTTCCTCTATGTTTATTGACGTTTCGATACTGGTATTTTCTTTTTATAAGTCAACGATGGGATCCTCTTCAAAGCTAGAATTTAAAAAAATTAAAATTAAGCAGTAGCTTAATATATGTGCTAGTGGACGGTGCTGAGACTGTCGGTGTGTCCCTGGCCTGATCGAAGCACTATTTTTTAAAATTCTAGCTTTGAAGAGGATCCCATCGTTGACTTATAAAAAGAAAATACCGGGATCGAAACATCAATAAACATAGAGGAAATGAACATTCAGTAGTTTATTAAATAATTAATAAGTGACCTTATTCCCAATTAAATAGTTATGTTTAAATTTAATACTCAAAGGTCGATTAAGGAAAAGTTGTAAATATATATATATATATATATATATATATATATATATATATATATATATATATATATATATATAATGTTAATTTAAAGAAATTTTAACTGAATGCTTAAAATAATTAACAATTTGAAGACGTTTACTTGTTAGCTCCAACTGTATAAAAAATTCTAAGTTAAACGACATCAACTGTATCAATAAAGTAAAAGGTAGAACAACAGACAAAAAAAAAGTTAATCATAGACAAGTTTCACTCAAGAAACAGACTGTCAGACTGCTGATACCAGTGTATATAGTGTTTTCACTGAGAATTATGAAATTATTAACAGGAACAATCGAAATAGCAATCAGCAAATTTTTCTTACTCTTTTAAGAAAGAAAAATCTACAGATCTGTATAAAGAATTATCTGCAGTTAAAAAAAAAACCAATAATAAATTATTAAAACCTTTGAGATAAGAAGGTGAAAGTGATTATAGTTTAAAATAATGTGAGAAATCATTTGCTGGAAAATGAAAATCTTAACTCTAATTATATCTCTATTTGATGGCTCAACAAAAGTGAAATATAAATTTCCTTTAACCCTTCCAACATGATTGAGGACGAAATTAATAATATTAACAGCTGTGCTTCAGAAAAAATGTTGGGCCTGATTGCAGTAAAAACTACTGGTACTGGTAGGGGGAGGGGAGAGGGACTAGTCAGGCAAGTGGTCCTTGTGATCCTTTTTGCCAAAATCTGACAGCTATCTTGATGTTGCCGCTGCGTACTTACCATAGTGGGAATGCCAAGATTCATTTCCTGGGGTTACCGAGAAATAAATATTAACTGACCCAGTTGTGAATTGAACGCCAGGCACTCTGGTACCCATGTCCTAATTTGCTCTGCCATCACGCCCTCGTAAGGAAAATTAAGATAATTCTCATTAGTTCAAGTATTCAATAAAATGTTGAATATTTATTTTAATAAATATCTAATAATTATTTGAAAATAATAATTTTTTTTGTATTTTTTTCAATTTAAATGCTTTACGATTTTTCTCTTAAATATCTGTATATTTAAAACAGTACAAGATTTTATAGGTAAAAAAATCAAAAGTAAAAATGAATTATTTTTAAATAAAAATTTGTTTATTAATATAAAATTATTACTATTGTTTTATTTAATCTCTTTCTTTGGTGGTTAAAAAAAAAAAAAAAAATGAATGACACTGTTGATAATACTGTATTAATCTTAGTTGTAAACATATCGCTTCTAATTACTTTTTAATTTTAATTTTCTAATTTGTTAATGTAATATAAGAAAATTATATAACATTCATTACACTTTGTGTTTTAGACTTTTCTATAGACATATGTTTCTTAGTTTCAGATATCTGTTATATAAAGATTACTAGAATCTGTTAAAGATAGAGATAAATTACTATATGTATATGTCTCTTTTTCTTATACTCTTACATTTTCTTTTTATATATTATATACAGGGACCTACCTGCAATTTATGTTGAATAAAAACAGGACAGGGTGCCCATCAGCTAACACTTAACCTATAAATGTTCTCACAGGTGAAAAAAAAAAAAAAAATGTGTGCTTTAGACCACACGATATAAGTGAAAACATCAACAAGGCGAGATTAATAACATAAATTATAAATAACAGCTCATTATAAAGAGGATGAAATTTATTTCTCTCGCTTACATTATACAGGCTGATTTTTTTAAGTCCCTCAGATATTTTAATCCATATCTTCCATGAAACTCATTATCATTTGGTTTTCAACACTATTTTTTTCCATTTTGTCTCTCTAACACGGCATCACGTTAAGATACAATTTTGAGCGATAGCTCATTACAGAGAGGATAAAATGATGAACAATTCCCTCGCTTACAGTATGCTGGTCTGATTTTTAGTTTTTAAGATATTTTAATCCATATGCAAAAACACTTCAATTAGTTGGGGACCCCTGTTATATTTCAACAATATTGCTCTTCAATCCCAAAACTTTAATACCTCAAAGTTGCATTGAATCGATGCTTAACATGGATTCAATATGTTTTCCTGCAGTTCCCATAATCTAGTTAGTTTACTCCTTTATGCCGTTATAGAAGTATGTATTTATCAACACGTTTACTAAAGGTTTTTTGTTTTCTTTAAAGAGGGAGAATCAACTCCAAATACCATAGGTATGTTCTATTTTAATTTCTATTGGATGTTGAGAAAGCTTCTTACAATTCTGGCAGTATTGAACAGCACCGCTTTCTGAGCTTCCTTTATTACATGAGTTGACAGGGCCAGCCTGTTAGTTGGTTCCACAGTAGACACTGGTATCAGGTTATTGCTGGGGATCACAATGCCGCTAACGGTTACTTTATTAAGTTTATATAAACTTTTTAACTCAGCTGCTAGACCTTGAGACTTCCGATTTTTTTCTGCACAGACTGAGTTATTGTTTCCGTCGTTTGGTACAGCGATATCTATAATCTCAGCTACCTTAATATTACTATCATTTAACACAATATCAAGTCTGTTGTGAGTCACAAGATGGTCTTTTATAAATGATTGATTCCACTATAATTTAGCAGACACTAGCTGCTAAATGTGCATTTATCTTATTCTTAGGGGACCAAGTATTCTAGAATTCCGATAAATTTTTTATTCATTTCACCAAAGCCTTTTATTACTTATTTATAAGTTAGTAGGTCAATATTGAGTAAATTTAAAATTCAAGGTTATATATAATACATTTTGCTTTATATCAAAGGTCGTCAGAGGAGAGGTTTTTTTTATATTTGTTTCGTAACCTAGAAGAAGAATTTGCAGATTCCAGGGATGTTTGATGTATATATTCCTTCTCCCCTCCCCCACTACAATCGGACATTTCCGATGGCATCATTTGAATCAAATGAGCCAAAGGTCAGTACCAACAGATCTTTTCTATACAGAACAACACTGTAAGTGTTGAAAATTTCAATCAAAAGCTTAGCATGTCTAAATGTTTTTTGTTTTCTTATGTATATTTTAAGGTTTTTTGCACCCCTTCTGACCCTCCAAATTAAATCAGGGGGTGAGTGATGAAAAACTACCTTTTTAAGTTCTTGACCTTTTCCTTTCTACTGCCATTTTTTTTAATCACATTTTTTTAGGTTTCGTGTATCTGGAGGTGGGTTGGTTGGCCAAGTGGGCTAACAAAATAGGTGTTATCCGGTGACCTGAAAACCAAAGATTACAAGTTCAAATCTTGAGAGGCTTTTAACTATGGCATTAATCCTCTGTGCTCTCCCCTGGTCCAGAAAAAAAAAAACATTGAGGAAGGGAAGAAAAATAAAAAATAGATAAGAAAAGAGGAAAGGTTTTTTACTTCTACAGTCTTCCAGATCAAGTTAAAGGGATGATAATTAAAAGTTCTGTTTATATTATTCCACTTTTCATTGAAAGTGCCCAACAGGAATTATATTTTTTAAAGTAATAAGTTGGACTAGACGATTTGGGTTAATATAGTTTTAATGAAGAGGAGAATAGTTGGGGTGGTCAGTCAAAAAAGAAGGCAAAAATAAATGATAGTATTTATTTTTACATATACCGACGTTTCGACCTGAAGTTCAGGCCTTCATCAGGGCTAAGAAAATAACCAGATAACAAGGTATGAGAAACATAAGTAGTGATGGTAAAAAAAATAGAAAATTATTTAAAAAAATAAAAAATACAGTAAAATGAAGTTGTTAGAATACGGATAATAGTAAGAACTAAGAGATAAATAATAATAACCATTACAAAGTGTGGAATGATGAAGTAGGCATAATAAAAAAGGTTGACATAAGTGTTAAAATGGGAATCTTAGAATAAAATGTAAAACATAAAAAAGAAATATGAAGTTATATAAGAAATGAAAATAAATAGTAAAATTAAGACATTGAGAATGGAGTAGTTAGATAGAAAATTGAGATATTGTAATCTATCAAGATAAGTCTATCAAGATGTACAGACAATGTATAATATAATAAAGAGTTAAAAACAGAGTTAAAGAGAGTTAAACAACTACTCCATTCTCAATGTCTTAATTTTACTATTTATTTTCATTTCTTATATAATTTCATATTTCTTTTTTATGTTTTACATTTTATTCTAAGATTCCCTTTACAATACTTATGTCAACCTTTTTGATTATGCCTACTTCATCATTCCACACTTTGTAACGGTTATTATTATTTATCTCTTAGTTCTTACTATTGTCATTATTCTAACAATTTCATTTTACTTTATTTTATTTTTTTAATAATTTTCTATTTTTTTTACCATCACTGCTTATGTTTCTCATACCTTGTTATCTGGTTATTTTCTTAGCCCTGATGAAGGCCTGAACTTCAGGTCGAAACGTCGGCATATGTAAAAATAGATATTATCATTTATTTTTGCCTTCTTTTTTGACTGACCACCCCAACTATTCTTCTCTTCATTATCCACGACAGTCAACCATTTACAAATTATAATATAGTTTTATGTCATAACAACTTTTTTTTAGTGGCAAAAAAAACAAGATAACAAAAACAAGCTCCCCCCTCTTTTACTACTATACCTCTATCTCTCCAAGCCTTTGGTTAGATCAGATTCGTTTATCTATCTTATATTAGTTTTCTCCTTATTTCCTCCTTCCCGTCACTCTATTTTCCATATTTCCGTCTCTATTTTGTATATATACATTTGCTCATTTGTTTTTATTTTTTACAATATTTCAACTTTTTATTCTCTTATACATAGTCGATATATTTTGATAGATTTTACAATGTCTCAATTTTCTATTTATATCTATTATTTCCTTATATAATTTCATATTCCTTTTCTCTGTTTTACATTCTATTCTTTATGGAGTTGAACTGTGGGGCTCCACTAAACCATCAAATTCCTCTCGTATCCAATCTTTACAATCCAAAATCCTTCGTAAAATCCTCAATGCTCCTTACTTTGTCACAAATAAAATAATCCATAAAGACCTCAATGTCCGATATGTGTCTGATTTGGCCCAATCCAGATACCCATCCTTCCATAATAAACTTCATAACCATCCGAATCCTCTTGTTTCTAACCTTGCTTCCTCTTCGATTCCTGATAACCCTCCGAGGCGTCTGAAAAGAAGATGGCCTCGTGATCTCCTCATGTAGACAAATTATTGGAGTGCTACCAATGGGTAGTTTCTCAACAAGCGTTTTTCATATTATTTTATTCCTCTGTACACATTTACTTGATGTGTATTCATACTAATACAGTTGTAAATATCATAATAAAAGTTAAAAAAAAAAAAAAATTCTAAGATTATCATTTTTAGTTCTTATGTTACTTTATTTTGATTATGTTTATTTCTTTAGTCCACACTTTGTTGCCATTATTATTATTTATTCCTTAGTTCTCTGTTATTGTTATTATTCTACCTACTTTACTATTTAACTTTAATGTTGACTCTATCTACTTCATTTTGCTTTAAATTTTTCTACCTACATTTTTTAGTCTATACCTTTCACCTTTTTAATTTCAATTCTGTATTATTCAATGTTTACTGTTTCTCATACCTATTGTTATCTGGTTTACTAGAGTCAACCATCAACCCACAACAAAACAAGATAATATAAAAAAATAATTTCTACAATAGACAAAAAATAAAATAACATTCCTTTATGTTATCCCACATATAAGTTGGGCAAATTTCAATTAAAAGCTTGGCATGTTTGAATAAGTTGTTATTCATATTTTTTAAGGCTTTGCCCATCTCTTCTGCCTTCAATTTTTTTTTCTTTTTTTCTATCCTATCTCACTTTTTCAACTATACTGAGTTTTTCCTGGACCAGGGGAGAGGGTGGAGAATTAATGCCCAAATTAAATGCCCTAGCACTAAAAGTCGAACTTGTAATCTTCAGCTTATCAGGTTGCCAGGCAAGTCAGATGGTCAAAAATTAGTATTTGAATTGAATTAGTGTTACAAAATTTGGGATTCTTGACTTTTTTTTCCTTCTCCTACTCTTTTTTTCTTTTTAAAATATTTTTCATGCCTCTACAATCCTCCAGATTGATTTAGAAAATTGAAAATTCAGTTTGTAATATCCTTTTTATTAACAATTTTTAATATAGTTAATTAACAATTAACCTTTTGTATTATTTATCAGGTACAAATAATCTTCATGTAGAATTGGAACAGCTCACCGCAAGATTCCTAGGAGTTGAAGCTGCCATAACGTTTGGTATGGGATTTGCAACTAATTCTCTAAACTTACCCACCCTCGTCAGCGATGGTTGCCTCGTCATGAGCGATGAAAAAAATCATGCATCTCTTATCCTTGGGTTGAGGCTTTCAGGAGCTCTTATACGAGTATTTAAGCACAATAGTTAGTATTATCTCATAATTTTTATTCGATAATTATTTTTTTATCTAATAGATCATATTTTTACTCTTTTGTATAAACTCCACCTCTTTCTGGACTTATCTTATGTATTAATTATTTCTGTCAAGTGTTGGTCTACTTTTTAGGTTTTTTTGTTAACACTTATAGAATCTTCAGACAAAAAACTGATCAATTTTCTATTGCTGTTCTATTAATTAGATTAGACAATTGACTTCCGATTTCCTGTTTTTAAAATTTCATCTATAAGACTATCATCTTTCAGATTTGAAGTTACACAAGGTAGCTAGATTCAATGAACTTGTAATATTATATTATCTACTTCAAAATCCTTTTAAACCGTTATTTTTTATCTCCAATAAAATTTTTCACATTTTCTCGACTCTAGATTTAATAATAAAATTATTATACTGATTATATTTTTAAACTTAAATACGAATTACATTAGAACCTCTATTTTCCCAGCTTCTATATTAACTGCGATGAAATTTAATTGGGGAAAAGAATAAAAGTACTATGGCCAGATTTATGGTTTGAGTTAAAATAATTCTGTATATCATTTTTTTTTTTTTTTAGATAAAAAATACGTTATACAGAAAAGAAAAAAAAAAAAAAGGATTTATTCTATTTCTAAATATATAAGAAAAATATAGGGGCACAAGGTAGCTCAGTGGGTAAGGCACTGACTTACAAAACTCCAAGTTCCATTCAAATCTGGCGGTTGAGCATGAACTCTGCCTGATCACTTCCTTACACAACTGTTGACCTTGAAACAGTAGTTCCTTACAAAATACTGTACCCAAGATTCTTCATGAGCTTCAATATCCAAATTGTACTCATTAACTTCATTTGCGACCAATTTTAACCCCCCTACTGAGTTCAAACTCCTTATGTCCCACGTGCCAATACTTAAATCCCTATTTTTCAACTTGTGGCATGAAATAAAGCAGTCCCCAACTGGAGATCCCAACGGAGGAGTAGTTTACCTCCGGATAATGAGCGTTTTACCTCAGGGAGATCCATGACTATTTTTGGTTTATGACGAACTAAAGATATGTGAGTAGGGCGTTCAATCCTACGTCACACCCTCCAGCAATTCTGGAGGGCCCTTCTCATTGTTGATCAGCGAGTTCATCAGACTTAGCCAGGAGCAACTTTCACTGAATTTCCACCGACCATCTCCACATCTCCCACCCAATATTGTAAACCCAAACAAAATAGATTTTTAAGTAAACATAGGTTTTTATCAGCTTATAGAGTCGTAAATTGCAATTTTTTTTTTTTTTTTCTTAGTCTACTATACAATCCCAAATTTTGGTTATCCATAGTCTGCCCAATCAAAAGTCATTTCATCAAAGAATCAATATTCTACTGCATGCATGGAAAATATATGTTTTATTTCATCTTTTGGTTCTTAAATAATTTCATTTTTTTTTTTTTCTTAAACAAAATTTTCTATTTATTGTAGATATGAAACATCTTGAAAAACTACTGAGAGAAGCTATTGTGAACGGACAGCCTAAAACTGGTAAACCTTGGGAAAAAATTTTGATTGTTGTTGAAGGTGTGTACAGCATGGAAGGATCCATTGTAAAACTTCCCGAAGTTATAGCCTTGAAGAAAATGTACAAAGTAGGTTTGAGTATGATTATAACTTAAAAATATGTATTGTTTTTCTTTTATCTTTAATAAGTATTTAATATTTTGTTTGATTTAACTCTCACTCTTATATAGAATTAGTCCATCTTAAAGTCTTAATACCAAGATTGTGAGCATTTAGGCCTTATATCACTCTTTTTTCCTTTGGAGTAAAAATCTGGTGCGCGCAGCACAGAACTTTCACTTACCTCTCTACTTTGAATAGAAATTATTTTTTGGGAATGTTGGGCTATTATAAAATTTTTGAAGTGCATTTTAAACAGAGCCAAAGCTTAAAGCTTACAGATAACAAATCAAGAGACCATTAAAAGACCATTAAGACTATTAAAATTACAAAAAATCTATTTATTATATCGATGGTAGACGACAATAAAAATCTAGTTTTATAAACCACATAACTTCGGTCTCTGAGCCTTTCAGCTGACAGAATGACTAACTCCAATTTCAACATGTTTGAGTATTGTCATTTTAGTGATATTTCTAGTTGGAAAAATCATATCTATACAGACAATGGGTAAGTTAATTTCAGAGTAGGTGATTGCAGTGTTGAAATATAAAACTGTGTACAAAGGTTTAAATTTTGCCACTAAAAACATAACTAAAATTATAATAAAGAAAGTTGAAATTAGAGTTAGTCATTCTGACAACCGAAAGGTTCACATATACCTAGGGAGATTTGAAAGCACATCTGAATATTTAACCTATAAATGATTATGGATTGTAGAACTATTAGTTATTAAACTGTTATTTTCCCTTTGTAAAGTTTACTAAAATGAAATTATGTGATTTTCATTGCCTGCCATGGATAGGTCAAAAGTTGTCACACTAATTATAAGTGGATAATGTTGTGATTTCACAAATTGAAAAATCATCAAATTATTCACTAATTTAATTTTCTAAAAGATTACTTGATGATTTTTTGGAATAAACGGCCAATAGATATCAAATTATTTAAATGTAATATTTTTATATTTCACACAAGTACAATTAAAGAGTATTTTAAACAATGGCATTGGCCTGATCCGGTGGATTTTAAATATTTTTTCAAACTTAGAAAAAAATTTAAAAGTTATATTTAGTAGGAAAATTGTATTTAATATCATTGGAAACATGTGATTTACGTTACCTTCTACAACTTTATTTGATATCATTTTTTCTAAAATTCTCCGCTTTTCAACGATATATTATACGCCTACCTTCTGACAATTATTTCCAGAGATTCATTTTCTACTTGGATAAGCATTTTTCTTTTTTCCTCCAGTTTCCAATCATCATATTCTTTCAAACTTCATATTATACCATTTTTTATAGTTACTGTCAATAAAAGAGAGTTAATTTTTTTAAATAATCCATACTTAAGCCCTGTAAAGTGACATCAATGGAGATAAGACCTAAATGATATTAAAGACCACTTAGTTATACAATGATACACTGAGTTTAATCAAAATCGTTAGAGCCGTTTATGAGAAAATTCTAAAAACGTGTTTCACCGTTGAAATAAAGTGGCACTTCTGGTTAGTCGATTTTAAGGGAAAAGTTCTGTACATCTCAGACATATACGAACCTTAAATATAAAATTTCATTTTCGTACAACTTTTCGTTTTTCATCTAGACTGTTCAGATACATATAAACACACACACACAGACCATTTTGCGGAACTTGGTTATTTCGACTCAGGAGACCTCAAAACATGTATTTCCGTTGGAATCTCAGAGTCGAAAATTATCATGATCGCATTACTGTCCCTTACTATATATTTCATAAATAGGTAAGTGAAAGTAATATTGTTTTTCTTTTATCTTTAATAAGTATTTAATATTTTGTTTGATTTAATTCTCACTGTTATATAGAATTAGTACATCTTGAAATCTTAATACCAGGGTTGTGAGCATTTAGGCTTTATATTATTCTTTTTGTCCTTTGGATTAAAAAAAAAAATTTTTACTGAAATATTTTATAAATAAATACTGCTAGTAGCGCAAACTTCAAAATAAATATGTTCCACACTTTCAAATGACAAAAATATATATTAATTTAATTTATTATTAGGAGAAATTAAATTTGTTTGTTATTTCAGGCATACCTATACGTTGATGAAGCACACAGCATTGGCGCATTAGGCCCACACGGCAGAGGTGTTGTCGATTACTGGGGGTGTGATCCCCAGGATATTGATGTTTTCATGGGGACCTTTACAAAATCTTTTGGAAGTGCAGGAGGATATATTGCGGGATCCAAGGTTAATATTAACTTCTTATACCATATTTAATTTTGTTTTAACTATTTTATGAACTATAATTAGTCATAAAGTTCCTGACAATTCCTTCCATTATTTTGTATGCATACAATCATGACCCCAGAGAACTCTTTCCCTAATAGTACATTCAAAGTGACTTTATTTGTTTTAATTAATTGACAATTTTTATTATTTATTTATTATTATTATAAGGATCCATAAAGTTATCTTGATTCTTACTACCAAATTATGTATATGTGAGCATTATCCTTAGCTCCTTATTATAATTTTTTCTGAGGCCTGTCTAGTTAAAAACACTGATTAGCAAAAAAGATTTTTTTTCATGCATTAAAATAGCAATGTATAACCTCAGTTATTAAAGCTCACTAATATCAAGTTCAGATGTGGCAGATAATTTTTTTGGTATTTTCTTTTTTTTTATTTATTTATTTAGACATATAATATTCTGTCACAGGGACAATAATTATATTGATAAATGAACACATTCACACCGTATATACAAAAAAGAAACAAAATTAACAAAAGTAAAATAATAATAAATAAAAACTATATACAATAAAATAACCTAAATACAAGTAAATTAAAAACATAAAAAAACAGTCATACCTATATACAATATATACAATCAGGCAGAGAACCCAAATCCCTGCGCTACTCTCTCAACCGCCTCACTGGTGCTAAAGCCGGTGGAGTTTGAGCGAGAGCGCTTTAGCCAAATACACTTATATCTTGAGTGGAGAATCTGGCCATTGCCAGAGGCAGATAATTAGTTACAGGTTTAGAAAATTGTCATATAAATTCTAATTCACATATTTACTAGAGGATAAAAGTTTAATTTTGTTTTTAATTATGTCCTTATGATTTTCAAACTCGCAGCATACGCATGTTTCAACAGCAAAAATAATCTACTTTCAGTCTTTACTGACCTGATATTTTTAAACATTATCAGTGAAATCTCTGGTTGATGATTAATTACAGAAAAGACAAAACCTTCCTAAGTTCTTTCCCATTTTTAATTTAAACAATAACTTATCCCATGTTATGGTTTGTTGTGCAACAAATCTATTTTGAACTAAAATGTAATCCTTTACTTTAAATAGTGAAGACTTCTCAGTACGACTGCACTCAAAGAATTAAGAAAGACTTATTTCCTAAGAGTTAGAAGCAGGATATAATGTCCACCCACTATGAAGACGAACTTATTCTGAAATGAAGGAAAAAGTTATAACCTGTGAACAACCTTTATGAAACCTTTTTTAAACCCTCAAATCATAATGGCGGAAGAGAAGAGGTTCAAACTAACTAAGTAAAGGCTGGAATGAAGAATATATTATGATTTTTATATAATTCATTCTAGAAAAAAAAAATTGAAATGATTTCTAGTTGTAAATCATATGTTTTATGAAAATAAATAAAAGTTTTAAGAAAATCGTAATATATTGTCCAGCAATGAACTGTTTCACAATTTAAAAATTAAATTTGTGTAACAGAATTGTTTTTTTAATAATTTTTCATGTACAAGAATAGCAATTTAGCATAAAATTAAGAAAGAACTATTTTTTTAACATTACATGGGCCAATATCCTCTGTTGAAATTTATGCAATCCTTGATTCGAGTTTTGAATGCATTTCTTGAGATCTTGGATAAAGACAACCGATTTAATGGCCTAACATCTTTTTTTTCTATTGGTGTGCCTATAAAATACATATTAGTGTTAGATAAATTCTTATTACTACTCCAAGACGGCATAAATTTAAATGGAAGATCTTCAGTGAATGAAGTTTTTTTTTTTAAATTCATATTTATGTGTGAAAAATTAAGTCTTTGACAAATAATGCCCATATTAATGCTTTGCCTTGTTTTGGATTTCATTTATTGTTGAGTCGCTAATATATCATCTACCTCTAGCATGGCCATTTAGACATTACTTAAGTTTCTTTATTTACAAAAGTAAATTATGTTTTCAGTAGTTTTATCTATGACATAAGAAATCAAATTTATATTGTTTTTTAAAAATTAAAATAGGTTGATTGTTTAAACAAATTTTTTTTAGGAACTAATAGATCACATAAGGGTACACAGCCACGCTGCCTGTTATGCTTCGTCAATGTCACCTCCAGTCGCACAACAAATCATCACTTCGATGAAAATTATAATGGGAGAGGATGGTACAAATGAAGGTAATAATTTTTTTTTTTGCTTAAATATAAATTACATTGATTACAAAATAAGCCATTATTAGCAATAGGTGATATGCATGTTTGATTTAAATGTCTTTTCATAAAACAGGTTCCATTAAAAAGGAATTGTATTCATGTTATGTGTTAATCTTAAATGATATCCTCTGAACATATTTTCATGGTAAAATATCATCAGTTTATTGCAAAAGTCATTAAATATATTTTTGATTCAGCTGATTTTTTAAGTATGCCTGAAACTGCCCTTGCCTTTCTTAACTGCCCTTTCCCAATCATTTCGGTCAGCAGCATGTCTCCCGCCATCATCAAGTTCTCAGCCACGGAGTCCTGCCACCTTCCCTTCGGTCTTTCACGTGGTCTGACTCCATCCGGGGTTCCATAATATAATTTCCTCACGGCTCTATCTTCATCCATTCTGATAATGTGTCCCAGCCATTTTAAGCACTAAATTCACAGGAAATGAGAAACTTGGAGATCGTTGAATAACTTGTTGATCTCTTTGTTCTTTTTTAGATGCCATGTACCATTCTCTCTAACTGGCCCCTCAACACTTTTCTTTCAAAATGGTCAATTTTTTCAGTCAGGCTTTTGCGTAGGATCCAGGTTGCACATGCATAGGTCAGTACAGGTCAAATGATTGTTTTGTATATAATCATTTTGGTTCCTCAACTTAGTAGTTTACTTTGGAGGAAACTTCTTAGGGCAAAATATGCTTTGTTAGCATATTTTACTCAATTTTGAATTTCTTCTTCTTCATCCTCTCGATCATTAATGATGGAGCCGAGGTACTTAAAACTGGATACGTATTGAAACGTATATTGTCCTTCTGCGAATGCTTAGGCGAATTTATAGGTGGTTTCTTCCTGAGCACCATAATTTTTGTTTTTTCCTCATTTATGGATAGCCCCATTCTTCCAGCTTCTCTTTGCAACCTTTCACAGGCCTCCTTGATCGCCTTGAGGGACAGTCCAATCAGTGCCACATCATCAGCATATCCAAGCACTTGAGTTATTTTACTAAAAATGGTGCCTGACTGACTAAGCTCTGCTCTATTCACCACAACTTGGAGGGCGATGTTAAATAGAAGTGGAGAAAGGAGGTCACCCTGTCTAACTCCTGGCTTCACTGCGAAAGGTTGGCCCAGCTTCCCATTTATTTTCACTCGACTCGCGCTCTCATTCAAAGTACACGATACAAGTCGGATTAGCTATGGTGGAATTCCCATTTCTTCCATTGCCAGGTAGAGCTCTTTCCTGATAATGGAATCATAAGCTGCTTTAAAATCGATGAAAAGGATCCATATAATCTTGTTGAATTATTTTGTTTTTTCCATTATTTGTCTCAAAGACAATATCTGATCAATAGTTGACCTATTCCTCCTGGAATCCCTCTGGTAATCGCCCAATCGAGGTTCCACAATTCGATTATATAAAATAACAGAAAATATTTTGTAAGCAGTATTCAGGAGGCTAATTCCCTGATAATTATTACAGTCTATGGAAGCACCTTTCTTCTTGAGTAAGGGAATGATGACAGATTCCTTCTAACTATCCGGCATTTTTTCGGTCTCCCATATATTAACTATCAGATGAGTCAACTCCTCAGCCAATACTGATCCACCAATCTTCAAAAACTCCGCTGGTATGCCATCTGAACCCAGAAGTCTTGTTATTCTTGAAATTGTCAACAATCAGGCCAACCTCATCTAAATCTGGTGGGCTCACTTCATGGTCATTCTCAGTGTCTCGAAAATCCTTATCAGGATACTCGTCATCTTCCCTAGGGTTTAGCTATTCCTGAAAATGCTCCATCCATCTACCTTGCGCATCATGATCTTGGAAGACCATTTTCCCATCAGAACACTTTATCATCGGACAGTTATTTATAAAACCTGATTTTATTTTACTTATTTCACCGAAAAACTTTCTACCCTCATTGTTCCTGCTATACTCTTCCACCTTACCCCAGTTTTCCTGTAATGCATATCTTTTCTTTTCCCTCAGAACCTTTTTTACATTATATCTCACCTCCTGGTACTCCTTTCTGTTCTGTATAGCATCCCTGTTTAGAAGTTTTTTCCTCTTTTCGTTTCGCACATTAACTGCTTCTTCACACCACACGTTTATTAATTTTCTGTTTCCATCCCTCTTACAATTTTGGTCGGCTGAATCAGATATAGCTTTTCTAATATGGTTCCATTCCTCATTCACATCTCTTCCTCTGATTACAGCTGTGGTGTTACCTACACCTCTTTCAACCTGTGATGTGTTTCCTTTACAGCAGTTACATCTAAATTTAATTGTTTTTTCAATTCCATTCATGCTCCAGATCTATATAGTGATCCTACATTCCATGTTCCAACTTTATAAGCCATATAACGAGTTCCAGGTCGTTTACATAAATCCTTCCGAAATCCGAGACTAGACTGTTCAGAATAAGTAACCTGTATTTTTTTTTTATAAAAGGTGGGTAGTCAGCTTCCCTTTAACCCTCCTTCTTTATCCGAATCTAGTTAACTAACTCCACAGGCGCAGTTATCAAAATCTTTTATATATCAAAAATAGTTACATTTAATACTTACTGTTCTAATTTTACATAGAAAATTCATTAAATTATTTAACTTTATTATAATATTAATTTTTGAAATAAACCCACAATATATATTATTATCGCTTCTTCAAAATTCATTTGATATACCAGGTTATTGATAAATAAATTTTTATTAGGAAAATAAAGGATTTAATAATGTAAATGGTTTCTTTAATTTATTAACTGGGTATCATTTTTTATTCCAGCTTTCCTTTTTGTATTATTAGAGCTAACCTCATTTTCAACTAGTTGAAAAATAGAAATTTACGCTTTAAAATCTATTAAAATAAATTGAATAGTGCATTTTTATTTTAGAAGAAAATGTACCAGTAGCATTTACACACTCCTATGTAAATTTTAGCAAATAATTTTGTTATCGATATCAAATTTTGATTTTCATTTGGTAGCACTTATGTGTGTTTTTTGTAAAACAAAAACAATAAAATAGCCCACTATTTTACTATTTTGTCCTGTTATAGATCTGTACATATTTAGGATAAAGAACAATGATAGTTCATATGAGAATATGTTGGTCTGTAATACAAATATGTTTCTTCAATCCCTTTTTTTTTGCCTTATCTTAAAAATTATTATGTTATGAATAAGCACTAATTTATCAAGCAATTATAATTTCTTATCAAATTACATCCTTCAGAAATAAAATCTACTTTTACAATTAACACCATCTCATAAATGTTTGCTCTAGGAATCAACAGAATAAGACAATTAAAACACAACACAAGATATTTCAGGAAAAGACTTCATCAGATGGGAGTGATAATTTATGGAAATGAAGATTCGCCCGTCGTTCCTCTTTTGGTGTATCTCTTCTCTAAAATCGGGTGAGCATTTATTTATTTTATCTCGACTTACACTTATAATCAGTCCTGATATTAATGATAGTTTAGTTTAGTTGATGATTTTGTAATGCAGTAGATTTACTGTGAAAATAAAAAATTGAAATTGAAAATTCTATCTCTTTTTTTTTTAAAATTTTAATCTAGATTAAAAATAAAAAATCTGGTACGCACAACACACAACTTTCACTTACTGCTTTGCTTCAAAAAGCAATTCTTGTTCTGGCAAAATTGGGCTATTACAAGAAGTTTTTGAAGCACATTTTTAATGAAGCTAAATCTTGAACAATATATTTTGGAATTTTGGTTATGTTAATCAATACAAAAACTCATTAAGACCATCAAAATAACATAAACCCTATGTTTAACTTTTTTTTTTGGGAGGGGAATAGGAATTACTCCCCTCCTCCTCTGAATTTTTTTGAAAGATAAAATGGCAATATGTTTGGGTAGGTGGGTGATACTTTGTTTACTTTATTTGTTTTTGAGGGGGATTACCTCCCCCCTTCATTCTCTTCCTCCCGCCCAAATTTTTCAAAAGAATGGCATGTTAGCAATATGTTTCACCTACCCGAATTATTTTTTCCTTTTAATTTTTCTGGGGGAAAGGAGAATCTCAATAAGGGTATACGTGGGTTTTTAGTTTCTCATTAAATAGGTAAAGTCTACCGATCTCCAGATTGAAAATGCTCCATTTCTGGGGAGTTTTGTAAATAAAAAAGTTTTAGGTTTCGATATGATGTAGTTTTTTATGGATGTTAATAATTTGATAAAAAGAGGTCTGTGCTGTGGACTAATATTCAAACCAAAATTAATGTTAAAAGTGATCTGCGAATTTTCATCATTTGTTTATCTCTCGATTATATAAAAAAAATTTTTAGTGACTTTCATATTTTATTTTATTTTAGTAGGATTATTATTTTATTATTATTAGGATAGTAGGAGATAACAAGAACTCTCCTATTAGCTCTATAATTATCACTAATTATATAGCTATTGATTCACTTATGTATGTGTTGAGCTACTGTAACCTCCTACTATATTTTAATGTAAAATATTGATTTTAGACCGAAAATGTGTACGGAAAATGTTATTCATCTGGAGGTGGTAGTTTGATTTTATCTAAGTGACATCAATTATTTTTCCATCTATTATATATGATATTATTTATATGTTATTGTGATATAATAACTATAATTATAATTTCATAATAATTATAATTATTATGAAATAGAAAAGGAAGCACAATATAGCTTACAATGAAATTATTATTAATAAAAGCCTCAAATTGATGTCGGAGTTTTATGACGCTGGACAAGTTGAATATATATTATGGTTACAAATTGGCTATAAGAATAATTATAGTTATGTAAATTGGCATAATATAAGGTGCGATTTATAATATATATTTTTAAAGAAATTAAAAATTTGTCTCAACTGTTATTTTATGTTGATAAAAAATAATCCAATCTGAACTACAGAATACATGTAAATTACAGTTATACAATTTGAGCAACGAGTAGTACAATTAAATGAACAGTTGTATAATTTGTAAAATGGGGGTTGGTCCGCCGTTAGGACAGTAGATACCCCCTGGTATTATATTAGTTTTTAAATTATTCACTTTTATTTTTAACTACCCATAAAAAGTAAATATTTTTAAAAATATTAATTATGTTAATTTTAGAGAAAACTAATTATATGGACTATTATAATTAAAACAAATTAAATGAAAACTGTCTATAAATTTGAGAAAATTTAGTTCTGCTCATGTTGATGTGTCTAAAGAAATTATGAATTTTAATTTTTGATATTTACGTCTCCGTTTTTATGAAGATATTGTGAAAAAATATATACTATTTTAGATAGAAAGAGTTAGTCAGGGGTGAAGTCAAATAAATAATAAATTAAAATATATTAATTATTTTAATTTTTGCCGACGTTTCGACCCACTTTGCAGGTCCGTCTTCAGGGCTACAAAAGATACAAAACATGTTGAAAATTAAAAATAAATATAAGTAGATAATAAATATAAGAAGAAGTTGTCAGATACAGAAATAAAAGATGGTATCAGAGATATAGTGGGTGACAATGTAGTTAAATATTAAGAATTATATATGTAGAAGAAACAAATAAATGGAAAATAAGGATGATTACAAATAAAAATAAATGATTTTTAATCAATAATTTAATAAATAAAATAATTTAATAAATTATTTTAATATTTTTATTTTACATTGTCACCCACTATATCTCTGATACCATCTTTTATTTCTGTATCTGACAACTTCTTATTTTATATCTACTTATATTTATTTTTTATTTTCAACATGTTTTGTATCTTTTGTAGCCCTGAAGACGACCTGCAAAGTGGGTCGAAACGTCGGCAAAAATTAAAATAATTAATATATTTTAATTTATTATTTATTTGACCTCACCCCTGACTAACTCTTTCTCTTAATATATCAACGGTCAACCATCTCTACATTATTATTTTAGATATTCATATTTCGTAAATAAGTTGTGTAATTACCTGAGTTTGGACATTTATGTTACTTTAAAAAAAAAAGATAGTCATTTCAATGGAAAGAGTGGTGTGTCTAAAAAGATTAGCTTATTCACAAGAAATAAAAATTTTATGTTGACCCTGATTAAAACGTTATTACTTAGGACAGGAAGCACTTTTTTAACATTGCAGTAAGAGTTGTAGGAGTAATATTTGTATTCAATAACTTGAGTTTAAGTAAAGAGAAAGAGTTGAGATACAATGATGAAACATTTTTATAATGAAGTTATAAATAAGTATAGTGGAACTTTTAAAAATGTTTTGCATTGTATGAAGTTATAACCAGATTAACAATAATAGTTAATATATATATATATATATATATATAGAATAGAATAGAAAAATCATCTTTATTCTGGGACTAGGTCCCTTTAGAATAACAGTATTGTACATATATATTAACTACAAATCTAGTCAAAAGACTTATTACAATGAATAATGACAAAATACATGTAATACATTAAGTATTAATTAATGAGGACAGTTTGGTAATAGGGATTCAGTACTACAATATTGGAGCTAAAATAATTGCATAATAATCACTGAATGAAATTATAAGGAAAGTACAATCTATTTTATAGGTAAATCATTGTAGTGATGGAATATAAAAATTTAAAAAAATAATAATAACTGTTAATATGTAGGGAAAGAAATTGTAAGAACTAAAACAAAAAAATATATAAAAAAACAAATAATGATATACATATGTTCCCTAAGATATTTAAGTGATTATGCGTAAAGATTAGGAGAAGAGAAAATAAAATAAAGTATATATATACACATAGCGAGAAGTATGTTGAAGATAATTAGAAATAAAATACATTTCACTGAACACTTAAGGAAAACAAATTTTATCTACTCACAATGCTTAGTGAGTGGTGATGAAAATTCGCATTCAACACAGAATAAAACAATAAAAAATAAGAGGAAAAAATAATGTCTAAAGAAAATTAAATCCTTATAACATAGTATGTATTTAACCAGCATCTGATTGGATTGTGAAGAGGAATTGGAATAAGAGGGTTTTAAAGGTGGCTAAGGATGATGCATGGCGGATTTTTAGTGGGATGGAATTCCAGAATGCGGTGGAACGGACAACGAAGGAATGTTTAAATGATGCAGATCTGTGGAAAGGAGTGTAAAGGTCAGAAGGACGAGATCTTGTGGAGAGGGTGTGGATAGATGATTTGAATTGTAGGAGATTGTATGCGTAGGACGGACGATGACTATTGATTATTTGGTAAAGGAATGTGCCTAGGAAAGAAGGGAAGAGCCATCCTAATTCAGCATAGTGGTGCGAAACACGGGAATACCTCAGGGCCCCTGTGACAAATCTTACGAAGGCATTCATAATTCTTTTCAGTCTCTCCCCGAGTTCTGCCGAGAGGCCACCGTACACCACGCAGCCGTAATCAAGGTGGGGGAAGATGAGGGAAGTTACTAGGAGTCTACGTGTGGAGATGGGTAGGAGATGGCGGAAGCGATGGAATAGTTTCAAGGTACCAATTGACTGTCGGGTAATGTGAGCAATATGGTGTTTCCAGGATAGGGTTTGGTCTATGAAAATGCCTAGGTTTTTTACTGAGGAGGTGAAGGTAATGGGATGGTCATTTAGGTACAGTATAGGTATGTTGGTATTGGCTCTGAGAAGGGGTTTGGAACCAATGACAATGGCTTGAGTTTTTGCAGCGTTTAACCTTAACCCATTTAAGTTTGCCCAGGCACTGATCCGATTCAAGTCTTCTTGAATTTTGGCAAACGCTTCATGCAACTCTGAGGGATGGAAGGAAAGGTAGATTTGGGAGTCATCGGCGTAAAGGTGATGGGAGCAGTGAAGGATTGAATTATGGATGTCGTTGATATAAGAACTAAAAAGGAGGGGAGATATGCTAGAGCCCTGGGCCACTCCTGCGGACAAAGTAAGATAGGAAGACAAGGGTTGATTAGGAATAGCGACAGCTTGTGAGCGTTGTGAAAGGAATGATTGAAACCATAGGATAGAACTATGGGAAAAGGATAATGATTTTAATTTGGAAAAGAGAATGGAGTGGTTGATGGAATCAAAGGCTTTGGAAAAGTCAATGAGTATAAGGACGGATTAGTTTTTTGTCATCAATGGCGGACTGAACATCATTAATGATTTTGATTAGGGCGGATTGTGTGGAATAACCTGGTCGGAAACCAGATTGGTAAAGGTCAAGTTGATTGGACTGTTCAAGGAAGGTGGAAACTTGGGATTGCACAATTCTCTCCAGGGGTTTGGAAAGGTTAGAAAGGATTGAGATTGGCCGGAAATCTTCAGGGGAAGACAGATTAGAATTTTTATTTAAAGGACGGACTGTGGCTTTTTTCCACAAGGAAGGGAATACTGAATTTTGAAGGGAAAAATTGTAGATGAAAAGGAGTACCGGAAGGATTTCAGGGAGGCATAATTTAATTAATTTGACGGGAATGCCATCTGGACCAATAGAATTAGAGTGTGATTTCATCACGGCGGATATGAGGTCTGTGGGAGAAATATCTGAAAAATAAAAATCGGCGTCATTGAAAGATGTTCCAGGAGGAAGGAATGAAGGGAGAAATGTGGGAGTTGAAGAGGAAGCAGATATAAAATAAGAATTTAAGTCATTTGATGAAACTGGAGGCACTGCAGAGGCAGGAGATCTGGTAGGATCACAAAGAGAGAGTTTACGAAGGAGTAGCCATTTGGATTTGGAATCAGGAGCTGAGGAAAGGGCTTCATGGAAATAGGTAGATTTGGCTCGTCGGATTGTGGATTGTGTCAGGTTGCGGAGCGCCCTGAACGCTTGATAGTCGTCAGGCAATCTAGTGCGTCTAAAGCGTCTCCGGGCTGCATCACGCCTCTTCTGAAGATCCTTAATTTTCTGACACATCCAGGGAGCAGGAAGACGACGAAAAGTTGGAGGTTTTGAGAGGGGCATGGTCATCAAGGATATTAATAAGATTGGAGGATATATATATATATATATATATATATATATATATAAAACGTATGACAACAGAATTATATTAACTATTATTGTTAATCTGGTTATAACTTCATACAATGCAAAACATATATATATATATATATATATATATATATATATATATATTTTGCATTGTATGAAGTTATAACCAGATTAACAATAATTATAATAGTTAATATAATTCTGTTGTCATACATTATATATATATAATGAAGAGAAGAATAGTTGGGGTGCTCAGTCAAAAAGGAAGGCAAAAAATAAATTATAATATTTATTTCTTACATATGCCGACGTTTCGACCTGAAGTTCAGGCCTTCATCAGGGCTAAGAAAATAACCAGATAACAAGGTATGAGAAACATAAGTAATGATGGTAAAAAAGATAATAAAAAATGAGAAAAAAAAATAATAAATAAATAAAAATTATTAGAAAAATAAAATAGATAGATATAAAGTAAAATGAAATTGTTAGAATAATGACTAAGAACTAAGAGATAAATAATAAAAACTGTTACATAGTGTGGAATGATGAAGTAGACATAATCAAAAAGGGGTGACAAAAGTGTTACATTGGGAATCTTAGAATAAAATGTAAAAACATAAAAAAGAAATACTACCTTTCTCCTTAAGTGTCAAGGGGAGAATAAAAGTCGTTACAAGGGAGAGGGAGAGAGAAGAGATGTGAAGGTGTCGTCATCTCTAACGGTTATCAGACGAAGTTTGAACTAAAAGCGCTGGAAGCCTAAATAGGTATGAGAGATATATTATTTAGAAAAATTGAACAAAAGTTAAAGTGAAAGAAATATTCAAAAGAAAAATAACTATTGAGCAATAAGGGAGAAAAATTGAAATAAAAATATATCATATATACATATATATAAAGAAGAGAAGAATAGTTGGGTGCTCAGTCAAAAAGGAAGGCAAAATAAATTATAATATTTATTTTTTTTAATATTATAATAAATATTATAATATTATAATAATATAATATTATAATTATAAATATTATAATTTATTTTGCCTTCCTTTTTGACTGAGCACCCAACTATTCTTCTCTTCATTATCCACGACAGTCAACCAATTACCTATTATACATATATATATATACACACACACACATACATACATATACATACACGCATATATGTATATATATACATATATACACATACATACATACCTATATATATATATATATATATATATATATATATATATATATATATACATATATAAGGGAGTTTTCAGCAAAAAGGAAAGGAATACAACTATGGATGCTTCAACAAATTCAGAACTTGGGAATAGGCCAAAGAAAAGTTCTGTTTGCCAGATCCAAGATTCACTGTCTTTGGCTGAAGCCGGATGTGGAGGGTTTCAGAAATGAGTCGCTTGTCACGGTTGAGAACCGTGGCAAGGATGGATGCTTTGCCGAAACCAAACGAATGATTGAGGGAGAGAGAACGCTCGGACAATTTGGAAGCGGCAAAACTACGAGAGGATACAGAATACCCATGCTGGGCCACGCGGCTCTTCAGGAGATTTTCGGTTTCACCAATATTCTGTATCCTCTCGTAGTTTTGCCGCTCTTAGTTCTTAGTCATTATTCTAACAATTTCATTTTACTTTATATCTATCTATTTTATTTTTCTAATAATTTTTATTTATTTATTTTTTTTTTTTCTCATTTTTTATTATCTTTTTTACCATCATTACTTATGTTTCTCATACCTTGTTATCTGGTTATTTTCTTAGCCCTGATGAAGGCCTGAACTTCAGGTCGAAACGTCGGCATATGTAAGAAATAAATATTATAATTTATTTTTTGCCTTCCTTTTTGACTGAGCACCCCAACTATTCTTCTCTTCATTATCCACGACAGTCAACCAATTACCAATTATCATTATATATATATATATATATATATATATATATATATATATATATATATATATATATATATATATATATATATATATATATAAAAGAAACGTATAATATAAAAAAAATTAAATATAATATAAGAAACTTGAACCACAAACAAAATAAAGCGTTCCTTTAATATTGACTAAATTATTAACAGAATATGTACATGAGCATTACAAACAAGAAGATATATAAATAAAAAAAAGAATAATTAAAGATAACGATAACCTAACTCCAGTTCAGCAGCAGATACAATTGAATACTATATCTCGATTTACTGGTGTTGTAAAACAATTTAGATATCAATCTCTCTACTCTGAATTCTAGATGGTAGAGGATGATCGTGAACGAGAGAATATCCAACATTATCCCTGGTAGACCAGGTCCATAATCTGAGACTATCCCTGGTACTAAAAAATAATTAAATATATCACTATAATTTTCCCCTTTTATAAATACTTGGAGTTTTGAATAAAAATGAATCCTCACCGATACGACAGAAAGCCTCTCCTTGGACTTTTCAAGTAATTTTCTTTGGTATTCCCAATCTCGTTACGGCATCACAAAATAAGAGAACGAAGACAAGTGACTCTTCACAGTCACCTGTTACATAAAAAAACCGTAACCATGGGTTGCCATGTTACAAATATAGATATGAAAAGTATGATATAAGGAAATGTGTTGATGTTTTGAAACCTTCAATTTAAAAAGATCAGGCTATAACATTTCAAAAACACATATTTGGTAGTTATAGTTTGGCTTACATAAAATGAAAATTATAAAAACTTTTTCAGAGGTGTAGTTCGAGGCCTGGCAGCTCGGAAAATTGCAACAGTGGGTGTTGGTTTTCCGGCAACTCCTTTGATGGAAGGCAGAATTAGATTTTGCCTCTCTGCTGCCCATACCAAGGAACAATTGGATTATGTAAGTCTTTTTATTTACTACCATTGAAACATTCTCATTTCTATGAAATCTTATAAAATATATAAGGCACTTCCGGTAAAGTATGCCAAATTAATGTTTGTTATGAAAAAGCAAGTTAGATTCGTTTTTAGTGTTATTTAAAACTCCTAAATAAGAATTCTTATTAAAAAAAATCCAAAATTGTAAATTTTAGTATTTGATTGTTTTGGAGGATTTTTTTTTCAAGCCTTTAAGTAAAGCATTCATGACTTCTAAGGATTTTCTTCAAACTCAGTGTTAGTACAATCATTGAAAAGCTTAATTATCGATCTTCCAACTCATATCAATAACTTTGGATTTCATTTCTTTTAAAGCTATAAATTAAGAAAAACTTGTTAATGGGAAATTGTATTTCTTTATTTTATTAGAATAGAAAATAATATTATTCTGGGACAAAGTCCCTTTAGAATAACAAAAAAGTACAAAATTAAAATACTATGTCTGACCTAAATAAAAACAAACACAAAAAGTAAAAATAAAGAGAAATAAGTAAAGAAAATATTAACTAAACATACTATATACAAAATTAAAAAAAAATCTATGTACAAAACACATGAAACCATGCCAAGACACTTAAAACTATGTACAGGGGTAAAACATAAATATACACTTTTAGAAAAACAAATAAAAAAAAAATATATTACATTCTTCTTAGCAGTAAACTCTGGGTTTTCTGTTGGGAAAAAAAGAAAGTCGAATCTGATAGTAAGTATTGAAGTGATGAGTTATATGTAAATACATCATTATGAATAATATGTAATTTTACATAAAAGGTTAGCGGGTATCTGACTGTTTTTGGGACAGGAATTGGAATAGGAGGGTTTTAAATGTAGATAGGGAGGAAGAATGCCGAATTTTGATGGGAAGGGAATTCCAGAAATTAACAGAGCGAGCAATAAAGGAGTTTTGGAACGAGGCAGATCTGTGAGAAGGAATGTAAAGGTCGGAAAGTCAAGATCTTGTGGAAAGGGAATGGACTGAGGACTTGAATTGGAGAAGGTTGTAGGCTTAAGAAGGACGAAGATTGTTGATGATTTGATAGAGGAAAATACCTAGGAAATATTGTCTTCGAATGGAGGGGAAGAGTCACTTTAACTCAGTGTAGTAGTGAGAGACATGGGAGTATCTTGGGGCACCAATTACAAATCTTAAGCAACTGTTCATTAGCCTTTTCAGTCTGTCACGGAGCTCCATTGAGAGTCCATCATACACCACAAAGCTGTAGTCAAAGTGGGAGAAGATGAGACCAGGAGTCTTCGCGTATGTTGAGGTAGGAGATGGCGGAATCGATGGAATAGTTTGAGGGTAGCAATTGTCTGTCGGGAGATCTGAGATATATGGTGATTCTAGGAGAGGGTTTGATCAACGAAAAATCCTACATTTTTGACAGCTATTCTATTTGTTTTCATGAAAAAGTGAGCTGTGAACCAAAGATATATTTGTTTTTGACTTGTACTTAAAAGTTTGATTCCATCAAAAATATACTTCCTGGCTTTTTTGCAATTTATTGGATTGGCAAATAAGTCCTTTCGGTTTTTTCTGTTTATTTTTATGTCACTATGATACACTTCTTATCTGATGAATTAATCCCAAAGGTAGATTGTTTATCCTGTTTGTAATATGTCAACAACTATATCTGTTAACTCTTGTTGAAAGTAGCTGAGTATTGTGTTTGCTATTGCACTGTGAATATGGAAAAAAATACCATTCATTATCGGCATATTTTGGTATAATCTTTTTAAAAAGATAAGTGTGGTGCAGAAGTTTATAGAAAAATTTGCAGTGTTTATGGGGATGCCTTAACCCAACATACCTGTCTAAATTGGTTTGCCAAATTTCATTCAGGAAATTTTTACATCAATGATGCTCAATGGTCTGGTCCCCCACATGAAATTGAAACGAGCAATGTTAATGTCATTGTTTATCAAAATCCCACCCAATCAGTGTGAGAGATTGCTGTGGCCCTAAATGTGTCCCACACAAGCGTAGAAAACCATTTGCACAAGCTCGGCTATATTTCCAGGCTTAGGGTTTGGTTCCCTCACATGATCTTTTTTTTTTAAATCACAAAAAAAAATGTATAACTTCAATACGACTTTAGCTATCTACAAGAAATTTAGCAGGAATTTAGAGCCACATAAACTACAGAAAATGACATCAACAGGACCTTCGTAAACAAACTACAAATAGAGATCAAAAATAAAAACCTATAAGGAGCTTTTGTTAATTTATTCCTTATGTAGGACTTAAATCAAAAAACCATTCATACTGCTTTGAAGAGCAATAATTCAGTTTTCGAATGGATATAGTAATATCGAATTTGGATAACATCCTGAAGAGTTATGGATTATCGAAAGGGTGTTGTGTTCTACCTCATTGGTCACTCTCAATAAATTATTGAGCCTTGGATTTGGGACCTTTTGCCCTACCCTCTCTATTCACCAGACCTAGCTCAAAGTGACTACCACTTATTCTTCCGGTCTCTGCAGAACTCTATGAATGGAAAAGAAATTCCAAAAGGAAGAGGACATCAAAAATTACTCAGATCAGTTTTTTAACAATACACTCCAGACATTCTATGAACATGGCATTATACAGTCAGTGGAAAGATAGGAAAAAGTCATGTTAAATAATGGTCAATATATTGTAGATTAAAATAAATTTTATGTCTATAATATATTGAGTTTTATTTCACCCTGAAAAACCGAAAGGATGTATTTTCCAACCCAATACTAATGATAAATACATTATGCTAATCTCCATTCAAAATTATGTACTTTAATAAAGGATTTTTTTTTTTTTTGTTGTCATCAATATTTAGACAAAATCCTAGTTTGTCAGAAACTTATGTTTTTTAAGCATTATATTATAGCTGTAGTTTTTTTTATTTATATATTTATTTATTTTTTATGAATTTTATAAGTAGATTATATCCTTCCCGGTCTTGCTCTTTTATTCTCTTAGGAATATTGAGTGTTGACCCCTCGAAATATTTTCTCCTCTCGTTGCTAAATCATTTACAGTAATCGCTAAATATAGTGGATCCTTGATTTCGTCACATACCTTTATTTTTATCAAATTTAAGAATTTATTTGTATCCCCATGATTGGTTCTCAGCCTAATTAGATTTGTCTCCTCACTTCTTTCCAACCATATTCCAATAGATGCAAACCATGGTTTTAAAGAAATTTTTGGATAAATTAAATAGTGGTCTCCCCCTTTGCTTTGTAGTAACTAGAGCAATTTGATTTGCACTTTCATTTCCGTGTGTACCCAAATGTCCTGGTACCCACTGAAATGAAAATTAATTGCTTGATAAGGCAATTAAATCTAGTATTTTACACAGAATATAATTGGCAATTGGGGACCTGTGTGCATTTTGTAGGGATTGGCAAACGTAGGCCTGATTCATTATTTGATTTATTTGCTACTGTTGGTACAAAAGGTCGTATGTAAAAATTGAGTTTTTTTTTTACCATAGAGCATAAAAACTGATTATTTCTATATGATTTATTAGTGTAATTTCATATTTTATTTCTCTCTGTTATTTTACATTTTAGCTGACTAGTTATTGCATTGCAAACTACATAGTGTCACCTTTAGTACAAATATAATGAACATGTAAAATTGTTATATGCGACCTGTTACACTAACAGTAGCGATATATTACTTTTATTCAAAGAAAGAAAAAGAGAGAGAGAATCACTTTATTATCATAAAAGGGTGCTGCCCAATTACATTGGGTTGCTTTAAACACAGCATACTTATTAATCGCTACAGACAATTTTCAAAAACTAATGTACAATTATATAGTATTAACAATATGTATGAGCATAGTATACAATTTTTTTTTCTATATATTTTTTTTATTATAATTTTTTTTCCTATATTTTTATTTTTTTTTTATTATTTCTCTCATTCATTTATTAGCATTATACACCCCTTTCTCTTCCTTCTCTCACCTTATACATTTTTTCATTCCCTAGATTTTCTCCTCTCTTTTCCTAACCTAATTCATAACATGCATACAAATACATAAAGTGCAGTGGACGTGGTCAATAAATAATGTAAAAATGCTGTAAAATACGCATGCCTCCCCCCATGAACGGCGTGTTATAAGGAGGGAGTTGTTGGGGCATTTTCCAAGCACATGTGCTAGTGTTTCTGGACCCAACTTCTCTTACCTGTCCGCCGACACCTGGAACTCCACGCAGGGGTGCATAATTAATATTTAGTTTCAGGGCATTTGACCATTCAGACCCAGAAAGTATTTCCTTATCATACATGTATTTATTGGCTTTTGGGGTCTCTTTAAAATGGTGAACTCCAATGCCCTGCCATCTGCAATTATATAAAATGCAATTATAAATCTTTCTCAAGTAATTTTTATATTGTAATCCCCGCCTCTATAGATGATCATTAAATAACTCATAAAATTTCATTTTAATTATATAACATTTGTTTCAGGCTCTTGAACAGATAGATGACATCGCTAACGAATTAGGGCTGAAATATTCGCAGAAACCTCGGTGCCCTAGACCTATCATATACGGCAGCGATGATGATTTGGATGCGACTGACTAGCATTTATAGTGGAGAATTTTGTGGTTTAATTCACACATGCAGTGCCTTTTGCTACACCTGCCATTTAATATCAAATTCGCTAAATAGGGTGGGCTGAAATAATAAAACTGTAAGGTAGTTAAATAAACAGGGATTAAATATAGGTTATTCCTTTCATCAATATCAATTAGTGAAATTCATCTCTTATAAAATAATAATTGTTTTTAACTGTTTATAATAACAAAGACTTAAGAAAAGCATTGAATTGTTTTATATTGTAAATTTTCATATTACATTAATATGTTATGTAATATAAGTGATTTTTAATGCATACAAAGTTAAAAGTTATATTTTTCAAATTTCTACCTTCTGCGCTATATGGTATTAAGAAGCTCACGGCTTATTTAATGAATAAAAGATTAAATTAATCTTTTTAGCGATTAAGATTTAAAATTCTTTTAAAAAATGAATTTGTTCGACACCTATTTTGAGTACTTTTTTCTTTGTTATAAATTAAGTAATAGTTAATTTATTAAATTATCATGCAACAATCAAGTATTAAATAAGAAAAACAAATTTAAAAATGTTTCTATTCAGTTCCTTTTTGTAACGATAGATATTTTTATGTGTAATATGTATTTATTTAGCTTTTTCAGTTATAGCTTAGCTATTGTGCTGGTTTTTGTTCTTTTTAAAACAATATTTATACTATTTCTTGAATTTGACAATTCAAGAAAAAAACGGGTAAATATTTTTTTACGTGTATTATGAATCCCTTTGTGAAGGAAGAGGATTGATATGTTTATTAGCAAATGTTTAAAAATAAAACCTGTCAGTTCAACACTGAAATTTATAAAAATATAATTACAATGATCTTTATCCATAGTCATTTAAAAAAAAAAATCTTTGGCTGTCACTGTACAAAATATTGTAAAATTTAAAGAAAATTAATGTATTTTAACTGATTAAATTAATGTGACTGATGCCCCTTATGAAGGGATTCATATGAAGTAATGACATTTTTAAGTATTTATTCGAGTATTCTTACAATTTAATATTACTTTTTTTATAAAATAGTATTCATTTATTGTACACTTCTTATAGAAAGAGATTTGGGAAGTCCTTTAAGCAATTGTTTTCTTCTCTACTTAAAACATGTCCAATGAATTCACTTAATTTTTTTATTATTTCTAATAACTTTTTATGTACTTGAAGCATTCCAGCTTATCGAAAGGAAATCATTGTTTAGCCTTTCGTGTGTCTATTATCTGTGCTTTATCTGACTTGTTCAATAATTGTTTTTTAATTATAATTGAACAAATAAAAATACTTCCAAAAGATTATTTAAAAAAAAGAAAGTTGAAAGTTTTAAAAGTAACCAAAAGACTGATTATTTATTACTGCCTAAGTTTCCTATACAATTTTTCTTTTAATAATTGAAATTGTTAAAAAAAATTTGCAATAAACAAAAAATTACTTTGGTGTATTTTTTTTCCAACTCTGATAATGTATCAAACATTCATTTTAATCACCATTTGTATCGCTATTATTTCATTTTATACATTATGATGTCTCATGACATTTTTTCATGTCATTTAGACTAAAAAATAGTTCTCATAAACATATATCTGTAAATGTTTTTTAACAGAAATAGAAGCATTGAAAGTTGAGTGGAATATTTGACAAATTTTTTATGATTCTGTTATTGTTTACTTTTTCGGTTAGTTATACATTTTCAATCTTATATAATTTATCATTTGTCAATTCGGTCTTAAATTTTCTTTATAAGTTAGTAAGATGTTGAATCGAAGAATATGCTAATATTACATTTATGGTTATTATAATGAAAATTACAGGACAGCGATGTCCACAAGAGGGAGAAGCGTTGTGTATATTGTGTCATCAAAATTTGTAGAGAACCGCATTTTTGTGTAGTTTTAATTTTGGTGAACTTTCAAACTAGAGAAAAAAATTATCTGACTACATTAAGTTTAAATAACTACAATTTTATATTCTGATTTCACTTGCAATTTTAAATAAATGGAGTGGATAAATAAACGGGCCATGGTTATTACTGTTCACCAAAATTTTTTTTAAAGATTTTTATGTTACCATATTGATATACTGTGGTTTGGCTATGTGATATTGTACAATAAATAAATTTTGAGTTTTAATCACAGAGTTTTGTTTTATTTACCCAATCTCACTTCGTACACAGTAAACATGTTTCTACATATCCATCATTGGAATGAAAAGGTGAATTTAAGAGGAAGAACTTTCGCTAAATCTTTTTTCATTAATTATTCTCTCCTTACATTTTGCATGTAGATCCAATTTAATAAATAATCACTTTAATTTTGTATATTAGTCTTTACTATTAATTATTATTTTTTTTTTTTTTTTTTGGGGGCATTTCAGGGAATCTTTGTCCCCTATTCAGCATTTAAACTTATAGTAGACTCCTGCTTAACTGGCTGTAGCGGTAAAAGAAAAAAAAAAAAAAATTATTATTTCTTAATGATATTTACAACTGTATTAAAGAAATAAATTTAGTAAATTTGAACATATGGATATAATGGCGTGAAAACACTAGTTGAGTAACTACCCAATGGTAGTACTCTAATGATATGTCTACATTAGGAGATCACGGAGCCATCTTCTTTTCAGACACCTCGGAGAGTTATCAGGAATTGAAGAGGAAGCAAGTTTAGAAACGCGAGGGTTGGGATGATTCTGAAGTTTATTATGGAAGGATAGGTATCTGGATTGTGCCAGATCTGAAACATAAGAAACATTGAGGTCATTATGGATGGTTTTATTTGTAACAAAGTAGGGAGCATTGAGGATTTTAGGAAGGATTTTGGATTGTAAGGATCGGATAAAAGAGGAATTTGATGGTTTAGTGGAGCCCCATAGCTCAACTCCGTAAGTCCAAATAGGCCTTATTATAATCATGCATATGATTTTTTTGTAATTAATTGGAAGTTTAGAGTGTTTGTCTAGTAAGAGCTGAAGAAATCGGAAACGTCGAGTGGTTCCTTGTCGTTTCAGTCTGATATGCAACAAAAAAATTTAACATCCTTAAAAGCACTTATAACTTTGTGAGATTATCAACCACTGGTTATAAATTTAATTTTTATTGTGTTATGGTTCGATATACTCTAAATAGATTGAAATGTAGAAAAAAAGGTTTTTGTTCATATCATTTTTACAATTTACCGAATCTCGATAAAACAAATATATTCGAAGTAAAATAAGTTCTTGAAACAAAATCATTATCCTTCATTTATTTCATAGAAAAAAAAAAAATGAAGAAATACTGCGTAATTAACATCTCAGTATTGTAACTGCGTGTATTACCGACGAAATCGGCTACAGCTTTTGATACTCTTTTTTTTAAAAAGTGAAGAGGGTATGCTGCTGAGAAGACATCAAGTTCAGTAAAACAAAAAAAATTATTTTGAGAAAAGCGGACAAGATTGTTAGCAGAAATGTTTGCAAATTGTTTAATTGAATGTTTTAGGCTAAAAAATTATATCTTCTTAATTAATGTATTAATAATGTATGTATTAATGTAATCTTAAAATTAATGTATATATATATATATATATATGTAACCTTTATTGATTAAGTTGTGTGTTGTATTTTGATTTTCACACACTATAGAAATTAAAATAGTTTTTTTTATTTCATACTCTAGGTATTAACTGCCAATGCAACTGTCCCGACCAGGATGGATAAGCGGGAATCTACTATAATATAGAAGAATCTTCAAATTGAGAGTAATTATTTATTCAATTGGACCTATATGCAAAAGGTAAGAAGAGGAAAATCAGATTTTAGTAAATATAAACGAATTAAGTTTGGGAAGGTACTGGTTGTTCTGCATGAAAAAGAAAAAAAAAATAATTACAGCAATATATAAATAAATAGTTATTAAAAAATCAACAAGCACAATGTTTTTATACAAAACTTTTCACTTTCCGATACAAAAATCTTTAAAAATTATATCTAGTAATTGTTCTGTTGAAATTCGCCCAGTCAGGCGTCCTAAACTATCAATTGCTCTTCTTAAGGTTTCTGCTGTCAGATCAACTTGAAATCCTTCAACGCTTAATTTGGAGAACTGTTGAAGTGATGTCAGGCATTCTTCTAAGCAATGCCTTTGACGAGAACTGCTATAACTAGGATTGTTTTGAATACTTGCTGACTTTCCGCATCTGTCCAATAAACCAAAAAATATATAATTTGCTTAAAATTATAAGGTAAATATTTCTTTTTGGTTTGGGAAAGACATGATGGTCAAGCATGCTATAGCATCATTTCAACATAGTCCATCTAGAAACAGATAACTGTTGGGTTTTGGTCAACAAGACAGAACATATATTATGGTGGATACACAGAATAAATATTATCCACTGTACATTTTATAAGTAAATATATATATATAGGGTGTTTCAGGATTAAGAGGCCAAACTGAAAATGTGAATTAAGGACCTTAAAAAAAAAAAAAAAATTCCTTTGAACGTATGTCCACAAACGTTTTTTTTTTTTTAGGGGATATTCACACCTAAAGATTTTCGTTGTTATGAATTATTTCGTTATATTAAGTAAATAAAAATTACTTATTTGTTCCACTTACTTTATTAATTAAACATAAACATTTAATTTTGTTCAAAGTGATTTCCTTGAGTATAAATTTTTCACAAGATTCAATTATCCTTCTTCGTAAGGAATTAAGGTCATTGACCGGACTTACATAGATTTTTTATTATGTTATATAGTTTTTATACAGTAAGGGATAAAAGGTCATATAAGTATTCTAGGACATGAAGGATATACCTTCACTTTGAACATTTAATATGAATGTAAATGTTTACATTTAATTAATAAAGTAGTTAGAACAAATAAATAGGTTTTATTTATTTCATATAACGTAAATAATTCATAACAACGAAAATCTTTAGGTGTGAATATCTCCTAAACAAAGTGTTTGCGGACGTACCTTCAGAGGAAATTTTTTTCTTGTTTTGAGGTCCTTAGTTCATTTTGCCATTTGGCCACTTAACCTTGAAACACCCTTTATATACAAAAACATGACAATGTTTTTTATTTATTTACATATACATTATCATTTGTCAAAATTTATAATAAAAAAAATATGATTAAAAGAGATTTAAATAATAATAAATATATAATAGTGAAAAAAATGTTGACAGTACACTATATGGTTGGGCATTGCACTCAGAGAGAACACACAAATAAAAATAAAAGATTATTATTTTATTTAGAGCCTAAGTTGCAGAGCTGAGAAAAAACAAGACAAAAATCAAAATTATTTAAAAAACTGTTGTAATTTCTCATTAAAATAGGAATTCTCATATCCTTTAACAATAGTTTTTTAATGATTTTGATTGTTATGTTGCCTTTCCTTAGCCGTGATGAGGACCTATAACTTCGGCACAAAATAAAATAAAAATATTTTATTTTTATTTGTGTTTTATCTCTGACTGCAACCAACCGCCAAACAATAATAAATATAAAGGAAGGAGATGCTCCTGGGTGGCGCTCATAAATAAGCTAAATAGTGGCAAAACTGTTTTATTAAAAGCCAACGTTTCGACCCGACTTTTCCATGGTCTCCTATGCATGAAAAAAGACTCATTTCCGAATCCATCCACATTCACATGGAACAGAATCCTGTAAATCATAAAGTAGATAACAACTGCATTTCTTTAACATATAGACACATTTTAAATCTTATAAGTGAAAAATAACTTATATATTACATCTTATTATTCTTATCTACTTTCCTTAATCAATTTTTATTGATTAATTTAATTTAATTGTTCATTATTTTAAGTATTTCCGCTTTGTATGATCTCTCTTTTATTTTATTTTAATTTTATATTTACATTCTACATCAATGTATGATCATTCGTTTTCACTTTGTATTCATTTTACTTTTTAACCATGTCTCAATATCATCTAATACTTAAATGTAATTTTCTTAAATATGCATAACCAAATATATTTATAATTATTCATATTTGTTTTCCCTCTCCTCTATACTTCTAAGTTAGTTCTGCAATGTATGGTCTCATATTTCTATATTTATATTTTACTTCTATCTACGTTTTACTTCTTCCATTTTTGTTTTTATTCACATTGTACTCTTATCTTACTTACTTACTTAATCCAGTCCTCTTTGTTACCGCTGAGCAGTGTAGCAGTGTGAGGTTCCTTCTTATAGAGCCTGATCCACGAATCTCTATCCTGTGCCAGCTGTCTTCTCCTACTCCAGTCCATTCCTCTCCTGTCAAAGGCTTCTTTAATTCTTTCTTCCCATCTTTTTCTTGGTCTTCCCTGTGGCCGCCTTCCCTCCACTTTGACCTCATAGGTAGCCCTGATAACTCTGTTTTCAGCCATTCGCGAGACATGTCCAAACCACCTAAGTTGGTTTTCTTGGAACTCTTATATCTATAATCTCTTAATTTTATTTTATATGTATATGTATATATTTATAATTTAATATTTCATAGATATAGTATTTTTTTTCTTTATCCATCCATAACTTCAAATTTTTGATACTGTAATTTTCTAGGTTTTTTCCATTACCCAAACAAGTCAGTAAATTCCCCAATATCTGCTCTTATACTGATTTTCCAGTTCTAAGTGAAACTCTTATCTGAACACACCTGTAGGTCTCTATTTTTATTCTAATTTTATCTACTTATTGATTTATTTATTTATTTTTTTTCTTTTCTTTCTCCACATTCGTTTATATCTATTATTTTATATTATATAATCCCGAATTAATTAAGCTCTATACGAAAAACAAAAGTTTCTACTTCAAAGCCCAGGCAACCTGCACTTTCTGTAACAAATTCATTTCTAACAGCCTGTTCCATATCTTTCTGTACTGTGAAAAGCTAACAGACGACAGACACAAACATTTACGAGCGTTTCTCTCTGCGCCAAGTGATGTAAATAAGATACAAGACATACTTCGAATCGATAAAATAGAGAAACTTAATAAAATTTACTGGTTCATAATGTCAGCGCGCAATTCACTGGATTCCTTAAACTCTGATGTTCCACACACCAATCAAGTGCTATGATTAAGGATAATTGTTGGTTAGTTCAATTAATTGTTTGTTTCTTTTTCCTTATGGTTTTATTGATAATGTAGATAGAAATTAATTGGAATGTAATGAAGTATTATTGTTTTTATAGTAAGTCAATGTACAGTTATGATAAACTAGACTCATGTAGGTGAAATAAAGTTATTCATATATGTATGATTTGTACAAGATTGTAAAATAATCTTTAACAAATAAATTCAATTCAATTCAATTTCATATTATATCCTTTTTCCTTTTCTTTCAATCTCTCCTGGAGATCTGTAGAAGTATATTCACATTTGCATATATTATATATTACACTACAACAATTATTACCATCTAATTACTTCAGTTTAGGATATTGTTACTTAGCTTATTCTGTTCATATTTTAATGTACTTACTGTTTATAATTTTAAGAAGCTTATTCACATTGTTTATAATTTTTTGTCTAAATATCATGTAACTTCCACAATTCTCTATCTTTTTGTATTTTGTCCGTTCTAGCACTGAAGACCTGCAAAGTCGGGTCGAAACGTTGCCTTTTAATAAAATAGTTTTGCCACTATTTAGTCTATTTATGACCGCCACCCCAGGCTATTTCCTTCCTTTATAATGCAACGGTCAACTATTAAATTTTCAATAATAAATATACATTTTGAAGAATATAGATACTTAGTAAATATGAAAAAAAAATAAAATAAAATAACCTGTACCACTAAAACCCATGAAGGGATCTTCTTGGGTACAGTAATATTTAGGAAAGTAATGTTACAAAGCCAACTGTTGTGCAGGGAGGGGATCGGGCCAGGATCACACTCAACTGCCAGATTTTCCCCTTAATCAATTATTAAATTAAGGGTACCGACTTTGTAGAGGCTGGGTGTGCCCCAGGAGGATCTCCCTACCTCAGGGTCATCCCACTGCCAATGAAACAGGATAAATAATTTGTCTGCCATGAGCCGGGATTTGAACCTAGGACCTTGAGCACTGGAAGCTTAGTGCCCTACCACTGAGCCTTCCCGCTCCCTCAGTAAATATGAAAGAATTGATAAAATTAAAAGTTATGTTTCAGAAATCAAAAATAATACTTACAATGTTTCCAACTTATTCGTCATCCTTTCGATTAGTTCTGCGATACCTTCTTCTGTTTTACATGAGATTCCAGAAATGAAGTTATAGCAATCATTTTGTTTAAGAAAACTTAAATTGTCTTCACTTGATAGTAAATCCATCTTATTAAACAGTATTAAACCTTGAGTTTTTCCATTTGAATAACAATTCTCATTATTAAAGATATAATTCCATAAATCTTGGCACTGTTGTATTTGTTCCTGTATGCCCAATTCATTGCACTGCACATATTTTTGAAGCGCTTCTAAGGAATCTAAATTGTACCCATTTTCTTTAGTCCATTCAACAAACTTAACAACATCAAAGATAAAAAGAATGAAATCAGAGCTCATTGCAGACGAAATAGCTCTTGAAATTCCTTCGGCTTCTACCTGATCTGCAGGATCCACTCGGAGCCCTACAAACAAAAAAATACACTAAATATATCAATGGATGAGGACATTGAATGAAAAATTAAAATAATATTGTATATATTGTCAGTTTATTTCAAAAAGTCATTAAGTAACGTTTTAATGAATTTGATCGAGATCGAGATAATCGAATTTCAAGTTTCTGATTCATAAAAAAAAAATACTAAAATAGCAAATTGATTATTTATTTTCTGTTAATTGCAATTCTAAATATATATTATCTTTTCGACAATTAATTAAAATACTTAACATATAAATAACAATGAAAAAAAAAATGAAACTACGATGCACATAGTGACTTTTTGCATACTATCATATTAAACTCCAACTAATAACAAACTCATATTAACTCCGGTCGTTCAAGGAAATACATTGAAGACATTTCTTGCTATATGAATCTGTTTATATTATATTAAAAAGCTATAAATAAAATTTATAGGAAATTCCTACTTAATTCAAAGTCTACTTAATTTTATATAGAATAGTGTTGATGATAAAATATATTGTGTCTATGTTTTTCCCTCGCAGCTTCTGATTGCACAAAAATTGAACAAGGGATGATTAATGTTTTAGGGACAGTTTAAATTTAAACTTTTTCAAAAGTGGTGGCTGACTATACAGTGTGTCGGATCAGAGAAAGTGTACTGTAAATAAATAAGACTTACGAACCAGCTGTGTCCGTTACGTTTACTGGATAGCCATTTATATCTAAATGAGTTTCCACTAAATCTCTAGTTGTCCCAGGAATAGAGCTTACAATGGCAGCAGGTCTCTTGCCTATAAACAAAATTTACAATAAAAAAAACATTAATTATTTTATCGAAGATCAAAGACACACATAAATTGTTTCACAACCATACTAGTTACTACTAGTTATTTCAGAATCATGAGGAATGTAAAGAGTTTATAGAAAAATCACGGGGAGCAGAATTACTTAATTTGGTATTAATTGCTGAAATTTCAATAATACTATAAAATTTATGAAACAAACTTGGTAAGATCAATTTTAAAAATATTCTTAAAATTTCAGTGATTCTTATATTTCTGATTTTCTTGAAAACAAAAATTAAAAATTATTTAGTGGGTTTCAACTCAAAAGCTCTCATTTATTAAAGATATAAAATATTAAAAATCAAATTAAAGTGAATGTTATTTGAGTCAACATCCTTGAGTTTGAAGGGGAAGTGAAAGCCATTCTCTAAGGCCTTGAGAGATTGGATGAACGGAAAGACAAGAAAGTTGCTTTCTTTGTTGACTCACAGGCAGCCATTTTGTCTCTCTAAAATGGATATAACATGAATCCAAATGTTCTTAAAAGCCATCTATATTTGGACAGATTAAAGGAAAATGGGACAGAAGTCGCTTTCCAGTGGATACAGGCCATTGCGGGCTCCACGGAAATGATGAAGCTGACAAACTGGCCAGAATATGTTCTGGAATGATCCAACCAGATATTCTTCTGGGCATGGATTCAACGAAAACAATTATAAAACATACCTTCCAAAGTTCACTGAAGGAGAAATATGCGCAAAAAATTGAAGGTAAGCGATGGAGTGGATTGCTGGAAGAAAGTGGCAGGATTCCTATAGACCTCCCTAGAGGGCAAGCCGTGGCATGCTTTAGAATGCTCACAGGCCACGACTTCCTTCAGAAGCACCGGTACAAATCCACCGCATCGGTATAAAAGATAGCCCGACATGCCCTCTATGTTCCTTAGACATGATGACAGGAGAACATCTTGATACATGCCCTGCATTACAAGCCATAAGATGTTCCTTTAGTGAAATGGACAGCCCTTATGCTCGGAGAGCAAAATTATATTGGACTGCAAGAGCACGCATGGCTGATCAAGCAGGCGTTACTTAGGTGTAGGAAAAAAAAAATTGAGTTAAACTATCTTTAAAGAAGTATTAAAAACAGTAAATTGTCTTTATAAATTATTCAAAACATTTTAAAGGCTAAAAACTTACACAAAATATTCATAAGACTACTTTTTCCTGAATTTGGGGCACCTAATATAGTCATCTGAACACCTTTCCTGATTCTTTCACCCCTTCTTCCATCTTCAAGATGCTTCTACGAGAAACAAAGAAATGAAAATTAGGTAATCACAACAACAGCTTGCAATAAATAGATGTAGATCAAGAAGAAACAAAAAAACACGAATTTATTTAAAAAACATCTTTTAGGCCTCCTACATTTCAACAGTTCCATCAAACAATTTACCTCTCAGTTCCAGCTGATTGGCTCTATTTCATGGAAGACTTAAACAACAGCCTAAATTAAACCTAAACTTTAAACCTTGAATGCTTATGTTTTTTTCGAATAACAAGGTTGTACTTCCTCCCCATCTCAGTTGCTTTTGTGGTCTAGAGTGCAGAAGTTTTTTCTTGAAATGTCTCAAAACAAAGAACTCAAGAAATTGAAAAATTATCTTCGTTCTGGGAACAAGTTCCTCAAGAACAAGAACAATGTACATAAATTGAAGAGAAGGGTGGTTGGGGTAATCAGTCAAAATAAAAAATAGTAAAAATAAATAATTATATTAATTGTGGGTTGATGGTTGACTGTCGTGAATAAATTTCTCTGTTTTACATTTTATTCTAAGATTACTTATTTTAGTACTTATGTCACCTTATTTTGATTATGTTTACTTCATTAGTCCACACTTTGTAACCGTTATTATTATTTATTTCTTAGTTTATTATTTATTTCTTTAGTATGCTAAAAAGAAGATAATCTTAGAATAAATGTATAACAGAGAAATATGAAGTTATATAAGAAAAAGAGAATAATATTCTCTTATACGAAGTCAGTATATTATGATAGATTTTACAATATCTCAATTTTTTATTTATATCTATTATTTCTTTATATAACTTCATATTCCTTTTCTCTGTTTTACATTTATTCTAAGATTATCATACTTCATATTTTAGCAACCATGTCGTCCCATTTATTTTTTTGTCTACACTTACTTTTATGATCTTATACATTCAACTACTTGTCGGTGCTAATTTCATTTCTCATTTCTTATGTTACCTTATTTCGATTATGTATATTAGTCCATACTTTGTTGCCGTTATTATTATTTATTTCTTAGTTCTCTGTTACCGTTACTGTTCTACTTACTTAAATGTTCACTCTATCTACTTTATTTTACTTTAAGTTTATTCTACCTACATTTTTTAGTCTATACCTTTCACCTTTTTAATTTTAACTCTTCATTATTCAATGTTTATAATTTCTCATACCAAATGTTATCTGGTTTTTTTTCTTAGCCCTGATGAAGGCCTGAACTTCGGGCCGAAACTTCGGCAAATATAAAAATAAATATAATTATTTATTTTTACTATTTTTTAATTTGACTGATTACCCCAAGCATTCTTCTCATCAATTATTCACTACAGTCAACCATTAACCCACAATAATGAACATATATGTGTAGTCTAGCTGTCATTTAGTCTTATGCTAAATAATCAATTCAATGTCACATTTCATCGTAGAATTATTATAAAAGGATGTGGAGAAGTAGTCCAAGAAAAATTTAAAAGAGACTTTGCGAATTGAGATATGCAAGGAATTCTAAAATGAGGAGGAATGAACAAGAAAGGATTTATCAAATAAAGTAGTTATATACAACGGAGTATAAATACCACTTGGTTGGGTTCTGGTGTTCAAGAAGTAAATAAGAGAATATAGGATAAGGAGTTCAGAGACATTAGAACATTCATTGTTTTTTAGGGGTTTAAAAAGGTACGAACCAAGGAAATATTAAATGAATGAAAATAATTTTATTATTCTGGGACTAGTGTCCCTTTAGAACAAATTATAACTACAGAATATATATGAATATTCTGGTGTGTTCATAAAATAAAAGTACAGATAATGAAAATATGTAAAAACGTATATAAATATAAAATAAACAGAGAAAGAATAAATAAACAAAATATCAATAAATCACAAAATAATCAAAGTATCTGGGGGGTACTTTGAGACTCTTAGGACTTGGATTTTTAAGTGCATTTTGAATGTAAGAGGGGATAGAATTCCAGAGTCAAATGCAGTAGTTCGATGAGGAGGAGGGTACATCGGACAAATGGGATCCGGTGGGACGGGATTGAAAGGAGCATTTGAATTGTATGATCTGTAGAATGTAGGAGGGTCGCCGAGTTCTAATAGCCTGCTATAGGAAGGTAGCAAGGAAATACTGACGACGGTAGGATGGATAAAGCCACTTCAACTCGGTGTAAAACTGGGTAATATGAGTATCCCTTGAGATCCCGGAGAAAAATCTTATTGAGCAATTCATAAGAAGCTTCAAGTTCTCAGGAGAGAGTCCACCATTCACCATACAGCCATAGTCGAAATGGAGGAAAACAAGAGATGAAACCAGAAGTTGACTGGTTTTGAATGGAAGAAGATAACGATGGTTAAACTGTTTCAGGGTGGGAATAGTATGGAGGGAAATTTGGGAGATGTCTGGTTTTCAGGAGAAGGTTTGGTTAAGGGTAACGCCAGGTCAATTACTGTCAAAGAGAAGGATAAAACTCCTTAACTTAGTATAATAGCCAGAAATATGGATATAAGATATAAATACCCTTAATGAATAACCAATGGTCAGAAATAGAGCAACGTATAACAAGCACAAACAGAGCTTTCTTTTCCTTTTGAAAGTATTGAAATCCCGAAAAATCTTAAGAAATTTCAAAACCAATGCTATGATAAAGAACAAAAAATAATAATAAACTGGTCAATCAATATCACATGATATGAAAGCAACGATGGATGGGGTATGTAGCTCGGAGAAATCCATCTGGAAGCTTCCGCACAACAATGAATGCCTCAATAGAAGGTAAAAGACCACGTGGAAGGCCAAAAACCAGTTGGATAGATAGAATAAATGGAGATGCAACAGAGCTGCATGCAAATTAGTGGAAAGAAATAAGTAGATATGGAGAAGGCTGATTAATGCGGCAAAAGATCTACAAGGTCTATAATCCCAACAGAAAAAAAAATGGATATAACTGTGAACATCAAAGTTATATCTTACATAAAAAGTCATAAAACACTTTAATTTCCTTTCTAGTTCACCAGAGCTAATACCAAGAAACCCTAGTATAACTGAGCGAAAATAAAAGAGTAAACAAACAGTTGAAGTAGAAATTCACAGAATCTATGGAACTGTTTAGTGGTGATGATGGGTTTTCAGGATATCCCTGAGGTGCTTCTGATTTGATAGAATTATGATATGAAGTAGGAATCTTTTTGTGAAAAATTAAAGGATAATATGGAAAGGAATGGAAAATGGGCTGGGCTTAAAACCAATTTTGTGCGAATGTAATGAAGCTAAAGACATGAAGCCATGTAGTTCTCCTAAATTCAGCTGCAATTTTTTTTTTCTCAGATACAATGACAAATTTTATTAATAACATCCTGTAGTTTATGAAATGTCTTAATGAGATTGCTCAGTAGAATGGAAAGAAAGATAAATTTGTAGATCAGCAAATAGATGATATCAGAAGTGATCGATACAAGGTAAATCATTAATAAAAATTTTTAAAGATTCATTTCATACCCATAAATCTTACACAAGGAAGAAATTAGTAGATTTTGTAATGTGTGGAAGAAGGGATGGTTCATACTCAGAAACATAACTACACATCAGTTCACTCATGCCGCCATGATAAATAAAAGATAAATTAGAAGCATCCACAAATATTACTAGAATATAAACCAAAAGAACTGGTGCTCTGCCCACTCCCTCAGTAATAAAGTGAGGCTTACAACAGAACTGACGGCTCTTTCAGAGACTCAGTTTTACCTGATGGTTTAGTGGTCAGGTACATAAACCTAAAGGTACATCAGCTAACACTTCAATTCATCTTTCACAGATTTATCTACAGCACACGATTGATCTATTATAACCAGTCCAATTATTCAATAGAACTGTGAGTGAAGGAGACTATAATGATTTTTTTCTAATATTTTTTTTAGATTACTTGTGGCAAATCAACTTTATAATAAAAAACAGGACTTATTAAGTTTTGCAAATGATGTAGATATTGCTGAAATACTATTTTAAAAATTTAGTATTTATTTGACTGCACCCCCCAACCAACTCCTTCTCATATTAGGTATTGTATTAACTAATATTAAATTGTTTTTTATTTTATTATTTAATAGTTAAAATTTAATAATCCAACTCATAAATGGATCAGGAGTTTGTTCAGAAATAGATAATAGACTAACATTTTTTTTCTTTTTTTTTTTTTTTTCAACGCCTGCTTCATCAGCCATGTGTGCTCTTGCAGTAAGGGCTGTTCATTTCACTAAAATAACATCTTATGTCCTGTAATGCAGGGCATGTATCAAGATGTTTTGTCATCATATCCAAGGAACACAGAGGGCATGTCGTGCTATCTTTTACACCAATGCGGTGGAGGTGCTTCTGAAGGAAATCATGCCCTGTGAGCATTCTAAAGCATGCTACGGCTCAAGAGATCCTGCCACTTTCTTTGAGCAATCCACTCCATCGTTTCCCTTCAATTGTTTGCGCATATTTCTCCTTCAGTGAACTTTGGAGGGTCTGCTTTATAATTCTTTTCATTGAATCCATGCCCAGAGGAATATATGGTTGGATCATTCCAGAACCTATTCTGGCCAGTTTGTCAGCTTCATCATTTTCATAGAGCCCGCAAAGGCTTGGTATCCACTGGAAAGCGACTTCTGTCCCATTTTCCTTTAATCGGTCCAAATATAGATGGTATTTAAGGACATTTGGAGAAGGGATATTAAATTTTTTTTTAAAGTACTACTTTTGTGTAATTAATTAACTTAATATTTTTTTCTATTCTTTTTCTTCTTCATTCTTCCCTCTATATGGCTATGTCAGGGAGTAAAAAAACCAAGTTAGAGGTCCTCCAGATTTCCGAACAGCTTGATCTCAAGGTCCAGTTGCCAGGTGAGAATCCACAAGAGAAATACCTCTCACCATAATCTTTTGTCCATTTGTAGCCATTTTGGGAAGTAATGCGTGATGTCCTGTTTTCCTTGGCCATCATAAAAGATATCAGGGGACTATGTGCACCTTTCGGCCAACATCTCCGACTTCTGGATCATTTGTAGGGTTTGTTCCCTCGCAGTTTATTTTCTGGTCAGGTCCCAGCCGACTAATACTGTCTTCAGCTCCATGCCAGTACTGGTAGCACTGCTGCCTGCTAACGCGGATATTTATTGACATCCCGGTCTAGATCCGCCATGTTCAGTCGAAAGCAGGGTCACCTCGGGCAGGATGCGGTTCTTCACTGGACACGGACAGTCTTGGCAGTAGCGTCCTCGAGGTCTCCACTTACAGTTTCTCAGGCCTCTCAGCTACTTCCCTGGTTTTGAGTCAGGAACAGTTTCTAGGTCTTCTGAAGCTTTACTATAGTACAATATATTTTTAAAAATCAAAGTAAAGTGAGTGTTCACATTGCATACTCAGGAATTACTACTAGATTAAATAAAAAAAGTCCTCACTTCTTTCATACTAGAGGACTTATCCCTCTCACAATTCTAAAAACTGTTTCTAGCTTAACAAACTTCCTGTTAATTACAACCTCGAAGTTAAACATTTCTGAACTAATCCAGGACTATTAAACCTCCATGAGGATAATTCTACTAAGCTATGTTTGACTGTTAAGATTTTAGAAGTTTTACTAAGTAATTTAATTTATTTGTTATTCATCTATTTTAAAATTGCATACATGTTTATATTATAATATGTTTTAGATACATACCTTAATATCAACTATCAAAGAAGTAATATTAGAGTTTATATTCTCAATGACATCTTTATCAATATCTTGATCTTCATCAAAGTCAATATAAGCTTCAAGGTGTGCCAAGCTCTGAAACAAATGATTAAGAGTAATGAAATAATAATGATTAAGATATTAAGATAGAGAAAGTAATAAAGTGTTTAGCTTGATTTCAAGAATCTATAATATCGATAGATTTTTGTTTTTAGATTTCAAAAGTGACCACTTAAGTTAACAAAGAGAGAAGATAACTGAAGAGTTCAACATTTTAAATATTGAAATAAATGATATTTGCCAACATTAAATAAAAGAGGATAGTTATTGAAAAATTGCGGAAACAATAAAATATCTATGCTCTACTGAGCTTATGGAATAGGAACATCATTCGTAAACCAAAAGATATTACTTTAAAAGCACAATATTACCTATCTTTACATATGAAATATCAATAGAAGAAAACTTCTAGTCATGAAAATGGACAACTGACGTAAAGCAATATGATAATTCACTGGAGAAAATGTAAAAAAATTAAGACATCAGAGGAAAAAAGGAACTAGAAAAACAACTTGGAAGGGAAAGAGAAAAAATATCTAGAAATATGGACATTTCAATGCCAGAAGGAAAATGACAATGGAAGTGATGAGTAAAAAATAAATGAAAAAACAGATCAAAGAATGCGTCTACATCTGACATTTGTACATCTAATTTATATTTAAATGTTATACAGGAGATAGATGTTAATTATTTTTTCTTGTATGTACAGTTTATTAAATTTCTTTAAAAATTGATTTAAATAACAGGAGTATTTTCTTATATTTTTGGAGACTTGGTGCTCATCCGTTAGAGGAGTTTAATTTTATTTTATGTTCCTTTTTTTTTTTCTATGAGATACAAATATTTTGTACCATTTCTCATTCATTTTATATCAATAAATTGCACATTGTTTGTTTTGAATAATATTCTTAGTCTATGGAAGTTTTTTTTCTTTTAATTATTGGAGACAATGTCCTCATTTATTAGAGTAGTTTAAGTTTTTTTGTTTTCTTTTTTTTTCTGAGTAGTAATTATATTTTATCATTTCTCATTTGTTTAGTATATAGTTTAAGTATTTTATACATAGTTTCATTTGTTTTATCTTTATATGAATCGTGCATTTCCAAAACGCTGTAAATGGAAAAATTTGAAAATATTATTTTTCATACTAAAACACGTTGAAAATGACATATCTTTCCATGGTAATACAGTTTGTCAGGATAGTGGTGACCCTCTCTTTTTTTTTTTCAACTTTTTCTTTGCAAAATATGTTTTACTTTCTTAATGTAAATTTTTACTTTTGGCACTTACAACATTTTGGAAATGCAACGTTAGTTTACTTAAGTTTTTTTTTTTCTTTTATTTATAAAACGTAGCAGATTAGGTACCGGTGTTGTTAAAAAGAGTTCAAACAAGTTATCGGAAACAACTAAGGAACTTTTAAGTGTTCGGAGCCGGATAAAAGAAAGAGGAGAACTTTCAGAAAATGAAAAGAAAGAGTTGACAAATTTAAATAGTCTCATAAGGAAAATGATAAAAGAAGACATTGAAAAATTTAATAATAATACTGTAACCAAAATCCTTTTAAACAATAGGTCTACACGAAAAATTCGAAAAGAGCTTGCAGAAGGAAAACCTTGGATGGTTGCAATAGAAAATCAGGGAAAGGAAATCACAACCAACCGAGAACATGTTAATAAAGTGGCTACAGAATACTTCAGGAAACTGTACGATTGTAATGAAACATCCTTTGAATCATGCGAGGAAGGAAAGAAGACTAAAAATTTGGAGGAAGTTCCACCGATAATGGAAGATGAAGTTACTGTTGCCATTAAAAGGCTTAAATCTGAAAAAAGTCCGTGACCGGATAACATAACAAATGAAATTTTAAAAGCAGGAGGAAAAGCTCTAATTAAAGAACTGTCAGAATTATTTAACTTAATTCTCCAGGAGGGAAAAATTCCAAAACAATGGAGAATCGCAAAGATAATCCTACTCCATAAAAAAGGCAATATGCATGACATAGAGAATTACAGACCCATTTCCCTTTGTTCAACCATGGCAAAACTTTTTACCACCATAATTAAACAGCGACTCACAAAAAGAATTATGGAGTGTATAGCAGATGAACAGGCAGGATTCAGAAAAGGATTCTCAACAATAGATCACATCCAGACGGTAAATCAGATGATCGAGAAAGCCAAAGAATATAATTTCTCTCTCTACCTCTGTTTTCTTGATTTCAAGAAGGCTTTTGACACCATTTCACATGCAAGTATAATTAAAGCACTTAAAGCAATAGGTACAGAAGAGAGATATATAAAGATTCTAACAGAACTTTATTCAGAAATGTCAGCATACATTATGACAGAAAAGAAAGGTCAAAGCTTCAGGGTTAGGAAAGGGGTTCGTCAGGGAGACCCATTATCACCTATGTTGTTTATCTTGGTGTTGGAGCTGGTGTTTTGAAATCTTGAATGGGGGAATGTTGGTATAAGGGTGAATGGTAAATGGTTGAGCAATTTACGTTTTGCCGATGACATCGTGCTCTTTGCCAAAAACAGTCGACAATTGAAGGAAATGATTATACAACTTTTAAGGTTGTGCGAACAAGTCGGTTTATATCCAAAACCAAAATTATGTCAAATAGGGAGCCAAAAGAAATAAAAATAAATAAATACACCTTAGAATATGTAGACGAATATGTGTATCTAGGCCAGCTGGTGTCCTTCTCGGATAGAACAACAAAAGAAGTACAGAGAAGAATCGCAATGGGATGGAACAAGTTTTGGTCACTGAGGCACATAATGAAAGGAGATTTAGATGTGGATCTTAAAAGACAGACCTTCGATAGCTGTATCCCTTTTTTTAAAAATTGACAACTTAAGTCCAGAAGACCATTCAATTGGCATTTCCTCCTCTAGGCAGATCCTAAGTATCAGATCATATATTTTATGATTTAGAAGTTCATCCCCTATTTTAACCAGTTATAGGTATATTATCTACGTCAGAAGCCAAATTGATTTTCAGATCAATTACATCCAGAAATTCATTCTTGTCTCCAATTCTGTGGGTGAAGGATTTTCCTATGGCACGAAGATATGGTCTAAATCAACCATGTACCGATGGATATGATTTATTCTTGAGGTTTCATCTTCAATCTTTGAAAGTTCCTCAGAATCACTAACATTTAGGATCTCTACAAAATAATCTGCCCATCTGTTCTTCACTTGGGTTTCCTCTCTAAAGAGGTGACCATCCTTATTCTTTAGTTAGTTATCCACTTTGGACTGAAAGCCTCTTTTCATTTTCTGCACTACCAAGTGGAATTTTCTCTTCTTTCTCTCCTCCATTCCCTCTTTTTTCTCCTGCATAACTTTGTCGCTTCTTTTCTGCTCTGAATATATTTCTCCCTATTACTTCGAGTATCTCTCTGTAGAAATTTCAGCCTATCCTCTGTTCAATAGCCTTCAGACACTCATTATCAAACCGTTCCTCATTTCTTCTGAATATGTCCTCCCCAACACATCTGCTGTTTCTTCAATAGCTCTTCTTATCCTCTGCCAATCCTCCTCATATTCCACCTTCCGCATTTCTCTCTTATAATATCTTCTTTAGCTCTGCCTTTCTCCTTTCTGTTAATTCTCCTTTCTCCTTTTTCTTAAGCTTGTTTATGTTCCGCTGTTTCCTCCTACACCTATTTCCTTTTTGTCCATTATGTACATAATGTAAAACTTAAAAAAAATATATTTATATTAGGTTGAGGAGAAATATATACATATTTATACTACAGGCAGAATATCTGATGTTATTCAATTAATCAGATGCATTTGATCATGTGTATGATGAAAAATACTTAAACTTTTATGTAAATTACATATAAGAATCTAGGGCATATAAGAAGCTAAAATATACTTCCAAGTATAAAATAGTGTCAATAAAATTAAAATTAATTACTTATTTTACATTTATTTATAAACACTATTAGAATTTACTTAACTATTAATTTAAAATAGATAAAACATTACTTTTATAAGTTTGTCAGACCATCCATTATATAAACTATATAGAGCACCTTCCATCTGGTGAAGAGCTTGCTTCCTTTGGATTTCTGTTTCTGAATCAATCAAGGCTGACAATCCTTCAACAGATGTCAAATCCATTTTCCCAGAATAAAATGCTCTTTTCGTAAATTCTCCTAAAAGTGGTAGTGAGGTTAAAGCAAGAAATATAAATGGAAAATGTTGTTCAAAACTGGAACTATAACGAACCTGGTTCAGCAGGACAAAAATTATCCAGCTTTCTGAGAGCTTGAAGAACAGCAGAAATCACAGCACTTCCTCCATGTACTTGAAATTCACACGAATCTTCACCAGTAAAACTATTGGGGCCTGTAACATAGACAATAATAAGATAAACTATTACTTATTTGTTAATTAATAACATATATTTTACTATATGGTTACATACAATAATAATGTATAATAATAATAATGTACAATAATAAGTAAATTAATAATGTACAAAAAAGGTTAAGTTTAGATTGAACTTAACTAAAAAAGTAAAAAAAAATATCATATACAATTCAAAATAAAATATATGAGGCATGCAAAAAATTAGGCATTACTGTACAGTAGCAAGACCTGTAATATTATATGTTCTGGAAACAGTCAGCCTTCCGAGCCTAGAGAAAATCCTGAAGATTAAAAGGAAAATTCTAAGGATTCACAGATCCACGGTAACGCAAGAGAGATACAAGCTAAAATCCAATTAAGAAATTTGGAAGATTTAGAAACAGTCGTTAGGACCAGAAGACTGAGGTTCTACGGGCACATGGTCAAGATGAATAGTGAAAGACTGAACAAGAAAATTTTAAACAAAGTTTGCAGCTATAAAAGTATGGGGGGATATGTAAAACAAATAAAAGATGAACTAGACAAGCTAAAAATCACGGATAAAGATTGCTTGGATAGAGAGCTTTTTAGGGAAAAACTTAAAAGAATTGGGGTTCTTGTGGGTGGAAGGGAGAGACGAGGGAGGAAATGGACTAAGGAAGAGTGAGAGGAACAGTCCAGGAGGATGAGAGAGTATTGGAGTAAGAGGAAGGCTGAGGTTGTGAAGAGGAAACGGAAATGATATCCGCATGGTCCTTGCTGGTCGGTTTGTGTAAAAAAAATAAATATATATATATATATATATATATATATATATATATATATATATATATATATATATATATATATATATATATATATATATATGAGGGTTCTATGTTTTATTTCAATATTAAAGAAGAAAAATAGATTGATGATTTAATCATAGCTGGGCCAGGAGACCGACTAAGAGAAAATAAATAAACTATTTATCAACGGAAGATGTGCCTTCTTATATAAAAACTCGAAATTGTCTATAACTCTTCATCTAAAACACACACATACACACATCTATATTGTTATACTAAAGGGACTTTGTCCCAGAATAAAATTATTTTCTATTCTATTCTCTCTCTCTCTCTCTCTCTCTATATATATATATATATATATATATATATATATATTATATATATATATATATATATTTTAATCCCCCAAATAGATAATAAAATGAACAACAATCTATTATTACAGCATTGTGATAAAATAATTACAAAATATTTTCTGACAGATTTCATACACAAATTTTGAGCTACTACTATAGAAGAACCATTTTCAAAATCAGTACAGCTTTACTCATTTTGTAAAAGATATATAGACAGGAAGACGTTGAAAATTGAATTTTTGATAATTCATCAATATTATACATTCAAAAAGATTAGCCAAAATTAGTCTAAATATTTTACATCCTGTATACCTGGAAACCATACCACTAAGCCTTGATCCAACACTTCTTTTGTAACAGGATCAGAAAGTTTTTTTAACATCGCCTTTCTAGGAGTGGGTAATTGTTTGAATCCACCAATTTCTGTCAAAGCTTTTTTTACATCTGGTCCAGATACTCGAATTACCGCAACACCACATTTTCCAAAACCTACATTTGAAAATGAAAGTCAGTAGGCATAGAAATGATTTATATACACAGTAAAAAAATAAGTGCCTAGATACACAATAAAAAGAGGAAATATTTTCTCAAACTTAAAAATATTTCTGGAGGGTTGGCCAGAATTTATGGTTTTCACTAAGAAAGTTTTACAAATTTGTATGAGATCAAAGTAAAAAAAAGAAATAGCAATAAAAGAATCTTATGAATTAGAAAAAAATTAAATTAAATGGTAATTTCACATACATCATACCTGAGGATAGAGCAAAAATTGTAGATTTATTTGTTGTAACTGATTTTTCATTTCTATAGTAAATACTAAAATTTCTTAATTGTCTCAAACCAGAAATTCTCATAACTTAATAGATATACTGGATTAAAATCAAGATGATGAATTAACAATAAAATTTATAACGATTTTAAAACTAGTTATGTTTAGTTATATTAGGGATATAATAGCCCAATACTTAAATTTGAGAACAAATGATAAAATTAAACTATTTAATATATAATTATTTAATTTTTGATATTTAATAAGTTTGAACAATATCAAGAGAGGGGTTGATAACACCAACGAGGTCGCAAACTACAAAATAAAGCGCGCTAGATTTAATCAGAAGATCATCAAAACATTTTACTTTTATTACACTTTTTTTGGAGGAAACATTTTATTCATACTTGATTTAGAAGCAGTATTCAGACATCGTGAAGTATACTTTTCGATTTATTAGATTCCGCAATGAAACTCTGAAGCAGAATAAATTTGATTCCATAATAGCATTTGTGAATGTATTCCGTAATAGCCGTACTAGCGCATTAATCATTGTCATGACAACTGATTTATTATTAATTAAAAATATATTACTTCTCATTTTATTTGAAAACTTTATATTGTAAACAAAATGCACCTAGGAAATCGGTACGGCCGATATTGCCTATTAATTTGATAAACAAAGGTATAGACAATTCTAAGAGATGGACTATTCAAGATTCTGTGGAATCAACTCCGTGTAATCCACTCATCTAACTAATGAGGATTACATGTTTAATTAATAAAATTTCTATTATGACTCCCTAATAATTAAAAAGAGCTACCTTTTAGAGCGATAATGAAAGGCACGCTACACATAGAACGCGATATGTCGCGGCGATATTATATCCTTTGTTGGTATCGCTGCGGATTACGACGCTCTGTGTGACTGTAATAGTTAGTAATACAACTATATCGCCTTCGACAGGAATATTTTATCGTCGAGATATATCACATTCTATGTGAAAGAGTCAGAAGTGATAGCGAGGAGTTGGTCAACGTGGTTCACTTGAACGTGATTTACTAAAGTGATATCGCGATTTACTAAAAAACCTGTATAAGAAACAAAAAGATACCTTTTGTCCCTTCATTTAAAAGAGATTGACTAGAATCATTGTTTGTTTATAAGTAGCTCTTTGAATGAGTTCAGAAACATGTGATAGATCTATAATGCTTGATATGACAATCCTTATTTTTACAAGTAATAACTAATTATTGTCTTGTTTTGTTCGAGGTAGTTTTGCTGGTATTGCGTCGTTCCGATTCGTTCATTACAGCTTAACTGGTACAAAAATCACAATTTGAATGAAGGTTGTATTATTGGTTTAGTTGGATTTTTAAGTTTAATATTTTGGCCTCCTTTGAATGGCGCCCAGGTCACAAGCTCTACATGGCCCACTTTAGAAACGCCACTGGTTTTGTCCTTAGTCCAGCCATGATAGAGGATATAACACATTTGTCTCTTGTGCAATACATAATAATAATTGTTTTTGTAAACAAAGGTGTTAACAAATTGAAGTTTTTATCGAGGGGATATTAAACTATTCTAGTATAGAATATTATGAAGGTCAGAATATACAATGATGGGTCAGCTAATGTCGAAAACGAAAGTCATGTTACCGAGATGTGATTGATTCCCAAGGACATGCTTTACAAATGGCAACATTAGAGTGCCATTCGAGAGCTTGTTGATCTTCATCGCAACTTTAATATTTTCGATGGAAGGAAGAATCAAACGAAATGTTCTTATTTGTTCTAGTAAAAGACGGGGTAAGCCCATTAGAAATTTAATCCTTCTATAAAACAACGGTAGGTTTCACTCCCCAATCTTGACCCGTGATAAATTGGAAGAAATTGGTTGGAAAACTCTCCGACTCCTTTTCTTATGGCTTACAACTAATATCACTTATTCAAATTAAATGAAAACCACTGGAGGCCTAGCGATTCAAAGCGTTGTTCGCGTTAACATTCTCGGGTCTAGCGGTAACGGTTCGAATACGGACTAGGAAGAATAAGAAGAAAAGTAAATTACATTCTGGGATTAAATCCGCTTAGAATAACTACAATGTACAATTCAATGAGAATGGCAATGACTGGGTGGATAGAAACTTATTTCGTGAGACTCACAGAAAAAATCTATATGTTTCCACCTTGATTAGAATAGATTTAGTTGTATTTTTAGAACAACCTTTCCGTACGGTTGAAGTGGCCAGGTAGGGGTTAAGATAAAGTATAAGAAAAAAAAGTTTGTAGATCATACGAGAGACAACATTGAGAAATTCTGATGGGATGGTTTGAGTTTAACGTAAATAATATTATATTTGATTCATTCTATTACACTGGTCGCTTTTAGAGGTGGGTATTTGACCTACTCATAAATATATATTATTTATTTACTTTAATATTCTACGCCATTCACACCCGCGCGGTAGAGCACCTAGCAAATTCGATGTATTAATTATAGTCAGAGAATTATTTTGATAGAACAAAATTTTGTTATTATTAATTGAGTAGGTCTCTTGGCCGTTTTCTTTTCAATCTGCATCGAGCAGGGAACAGAGGAAGGATATTGAAAGAACTAATGGATTGATTTGAAGTAATTTTGAGTTGAGGTATGAATTGTAGTGTATTTGTCGTGAATGTAGGATTTTACTGTTGGGAGGTTTAAGTCTTTATGTATAGCATTATTTGAAATGAACTAAGGCGCGTCAACAATTTGTTTAAAGATTTTTGATTGTGTTGTTTGTATTTTGGCAAACCTTAAGGTTCTGTTCCGTATGTCCAAATTGGTCTCAGTGCAGTATGGTAGATCAGTCGCTTGTTTCGTAAGTTAAGTGAGGATCTGTAGTCCAAAAGATACGAGAGTTGGTTGTATCGTCTAGTCAGTTCTTGTCTTTTAAATTCCAAATAAGTCTTCTGTTTAAGTTTTTTGAAGGCACTGTTATTGTCAATAGTTATAGGTCGGCATGAGGCTTCTTAAGAGAGAAACTAGAATCTAGGGTATGTGGATTTGCTTTCATTTATTAGAATTTTCCACTTTTCAATCACTTTTCGAGATCATAGAAAGAAGGATTGAAGGATAAGAATATTAATAGAAAGTAATATATGAAAACACCATTTTCGATTAATATGATATAGAATGGCTGTACAGAAATTAAAAATATGTATTGAAATAAATACAATGTTTTACTTTCATGTCACAAAGCAGTTATGTCCCATCTCGGAAATTGATAGGGGAGTTCAACTACAGCCATAAAATGAATGTTAACAAAACATTTCTACCAATTCATTGACAACATATTAACTCGTGCAAATATCATTTTAAATATAAAAAAGTTTCGTAGTATGAATTGAAAAATATGTTTTTGTATGCAATATTATTCATAATTATTTTTTCCTGAATTTTTCAATTTACAACTAATTATTTTTTCAGTATGAAAAATCATTGATATTTTATTCAATATTTTGTTGATATTTTGTTAAATAGACTATGAAGCAGATCGCATGAAACTATTTTGATTTTCCCAACCGAAATTAATAATATGCAGGGAAATTTATTATTTTTTTTTTACAAATATGATTATATATTTATATTTATCAGAGTAACTTCGAAACTTGAAAAATATTAATAGTAAGAGAACACTCCATGAAAGATGTCACACCAAACCTTGTTAGGTGATCTTAAGTAAGAATAGCTTCTAATAACGAATTGAATCCAGGCCTAAATCATGAATGGGCCGTAGTCAGTGCTGCTGTCAGTGGCACGTCATAAAAACATCTCTTATTCAATTCGCAGGTAGTGCATTGGCAAGTTGAAGTCAAATGAAGCCCTGTCAAGACTGTGATGAGTACGTTTACATTTATTTAAGTTAACCTTACAATGTAGGACTAATGAATTGTTAAACAAATCACAACTAGTTGACTTATTTACAGTTCACTCGTTTCATAAACTTTTTTTCTTCAGTTGCTGATTTGACTGAGTAAAGTCAGCTGGTTTTTAAGAACTAGCTTGAAGATAGAAGATGGCGGCGCTAGTGGCAGGAGGCCAGTATGGGTTATCTTCCCAGGAACATTTTAATGAAAATAAGTCTTTAATATTTGTGAAACTTACGGATTCTGCATTTCGTGCAATAGAAGAATACTTGAAAAATAGGGTGAGTACAATTTTGGAATTTTTTATGTGTTCTGTCTATCTAGAGGTGTTTATTTTTTGTGATGTTGTAACAGTTTCAGAATCAAATGTCGCCATATTTATACTAGTGTCCATACGGATAGGTATTTTTATATTATTTGGTAGATTGTCATGTCATTTTGAGTAGTTGACTGCTTTTATAAGTGATCCCCTTTGTTGGTTATAGTATTGCTTCATTATTTCCTAAATACTAACCTCGTTATTCAAAGTGTCACCAAACTGTTATTTCTTATTTCTAGTTATATTACCGTTAATTTGATTTATTTTAATCTATTTTTATGCTGGTTTTAAATTCCCCTTGCCATAGAAAAAAGAGGACTGCTGTAGAGAGCTTCCATTTTATTTCACTTTTATTTTATTATTAAAAAATACAAAGATGATAGGACTCTCTCTCTTTAATTCAGTTTCCATTCTAAATCTTTGATTTAATTTGAATACCTACTTCATTAATTGATCTCGCCTATTGAATTTCATTTGAGAATAATTGATGCAGTTTCGATAATTTATTTAAAACTACCATTGATATTACTATAGATTTTTGAAGTTGGAGAACGTTTTGTAATGTAATTTGGCCTTTAATTTGAAATTGATCTAATAGAGTGTAAATTTTGTGATTTTTTCTGTTTGGTTCAGCAATCAGAAGGTGATTTTTTCAGTTAAATTATGAACAGTTTGGAATTTCATATAATTTGTCGTATATATTCAACTCATTTCTTACCAAATTAAATATTACAAAATTGTTCCATAAGTTACATAATTTATAGGATTATTTTTCAACCGACTATATTCTATCTATCTTACTCGATTTTTCTGTTTTTTTTTTCAAACTCTTTAATGTTTTTGATGATTAATCATATAGATTTTCCCAATTTTTGAAGCAACATGTATGGCTCCTGACTTTCTTTCTCTAGCCATAAGGGATATTAGTAGTTTTTGTTTCCTTCTAAAGAATCTTATTTTCTTAGAAATAAATCTTATTTTACATTAATTTTGGAAATGGCCTTCATTTTTGTCAGTTATGGATAACCATATTTAAAGTGAATATGCTTTGGCTGATTTGGTCACTATAATGAATAACCATTATTTTCTAAGAGTGGTTTGTATTTTCATCAGAGATCATGGTTATTACAGTATTGCCCTTCATTTCAATTCTGTTAAATATTTTAATTTGTTTTATCAAATGCTACTTACCCAATTTTGATGTCTTGCAATGAAATACATTTATTTTTTTTTATATTTATGATTATTATTATACAACCACTCAAATTTCAACTTGAAATATAGGTTTTCTTCTTTTTGTCAATTCTATATTAGTCACTTATTGTTGTGTCCATGATTGTAATTTGTTTTCTTTTCTGGGTTTGGTTTAGTTTAAAGTAGGTTCATATCTATTCTTCATTTGATCATAATCCCTGTATTTTAATCTTGGCTTATTAGTCAATGAAAAAAAAGTGAAGAAAATATGTTTGCTAATAACTTAAGCATGATTATAATCGAGGTGGTTAGGCTTGCCTACTTCCTCTGAAATAATTTAAACTCTTGAAGTTTCTTCCAAGAGACATTGATTATCAGACATTTTATCTTTTCAAGAATACTAAACTCTGTTAATTACATATCCCTTCCATGCTCTTACCAATGATATAGGAGGCATTAAGATGTCTTCAAAATTTCTTCTTATTTGAAACATTAATATTCTTTTGTTCCTATTTCTAATTAAGTTAAGCTAACAGGTTTACTGTACTATGTGTACAGATTTGTTTTTGAATTCATTATCTTTTATATTAGGTAAACTGTTTTTTAATATTACATTTGAATATTTTTTTTTTTTTTATGGTTGCCCAAATTTAGTAACTTTTATTTTCTTTACCGTGAGTTTGACTATGAATCATTCATATTTATTTCTTCTCAAGAATAACATACATTCCTGCTTAAAAATCAAATGTTTTATAAGTGGTAATAGAATCTTTGATTTATATTGTTATGGATTAGTTGATTTTTCAAACAAATTGATAGATTTTAGAGAAAACCTGAAGTGTTATAATTTATGCTTACCATTTGCTTAGCTGTTTAATTAGAAGTAATTTATAAATCAATTTAACTAAAGAGGATTATTAGTAGAATAATGATTACATGTGTTTGCTATGAAATTGTTGTTCTATGATTTATTTTTGATTATTGTTTTTTAATATATTAATTGTAAGATTCAAATTTTGGTGAAATATAACTAAACTTTGCTTTTATAACTATTATCAATTAAACAATAATTTATGTATAACAAAGATCATAATGTCTGCTACTGTTTATTTGTAGCTATCAGATATTAAAGGTTGTGATTTATTATTTTTATTTTATTATTTGTTTGTTATCACTTGTTGAGATAAGATTACGTTGAAATTCCAGGTTGTCAGTTAAGTTGCATTGTTCCTTTTATTGTTCAGTTTATTCAAGTATTTTGCTTTTTAGTGTGAAAAATACTCACAAGTGACTTAATCATGAGATCAATAAAACTTCTATGTTCTGTTAGAAATTATTTTTTACTGTTGACAATCAAAAGACCTCTAATATATTTTTATTATTTTATGCTCCCAATAAATTTTAAATTGTTGTTCTAATATTATTTACAGTATTCTAGATTAGTCGATGTTATTACCTTGTGTTATAAATACAACTCTATCAACTAAATTCACAGTTGATGTTGAGATTTTTTTTTTTTTTTAATAAAATAAATATTCAATAACAGTTTTTCTATTTTAGTGTTGCTTCTAAGTCAAATGATATTTATTTATGTTTTATAAATATGGAACTTTTTTTTTTTTCTCCACTAGTTGTTGATAGTTTAAGGTTTTGATTAATTTAGAGGTTGGTAAATTATGGTCTGAGAAAAAGTCTTGCTTAAGAGTTCATTACATTTTAATCAGTTCTTATATAATTACTGTTATTTTTGTTTGTTGTGTTGTCTTTAAGGATAAATCAGTGACAGTATAGTACTCTTTATACAGTGTATAATATTCATTTAGATTATCGATTCCTTACCTCTTAAACCTTCAAGTCCCTAAAAATCAAATTTCACTCAAGGAAACAAAAAACTATGTTTCTATTAGAGATAAGATCTTTGTGATTTCTAGTTATGTATTGATAAATTCTTACCTAATTACCTGACATTCTTACTTAGTTACTTGATAACTTAAGTGAATGTGTGAGCATTAGTGAATTGACTTGCTAGGTTTTAGATATTTTGATTATCTGTTCTTATAGATCAGTTTTTATGTGCTGCCTTGCTATTGTGAGTTTTGAGTCAGTCCTCAACTTGTAAATAATCCTAAAATCCTATCTAATATATATAATTTTGTTTTGAAAGTTTTTAATTTGGTTATAAGTCAAAAATATCTGATGTATGTGTTACACTTGAGTAATTCAGAGTAAGAAAATTCACTCATCCCATTGGTTATTTGTTGGTATGAGATTTCGCTGGACTGTGCCGTTTCATATATAATTTTGTTTAGCATATTTAGTAGCAGTCCATAGTGCCCAGTTAAGAGTTCATTTAGCCAAGTTTAACTATTGACTATTTTGATATTGTTTACCTATCATTATTTTAGGGGATATTGACTGGAACAATAAAGTTCAATGTCTTAAACTTACACTAAACTGGAATTCTCATTTCTCACTATGAGCAATTATGGATTGAGTTATAAATTTTTGTGGTATGAAAAGTCAATATATCAAATTTGTTTTAAGGTTGCAGGAATTTCATTTAACTTCCATGCTTTTATCATGATTATTTATTAAGAATCACATGACGGTTAACGTTTCAAGAAAAATTATCCCTATCTACTGAGAACCATTGCTTTCTAAAATTAATGAACTAAATTATGAATGGCTTCTTATGAGAGACGGACATTTATCATTTTTTTAAAATTTTGAGAAAAAAACAATTTTTGTAACATCGCTTCAATTTAAACCAATCATAAGATTTTTTTTTCTATAACTCAACTTGAATATTCTTAAATAAAATCATCAAAAACTGCTTGGGTTGACCTTATAAAACAAAAATTGACTTTTCTCCTTTTTCTGAAAATGACAGAAGTTCGTCATTGATTTGAAGCCACTCGCTGAACAATAATATAAACTTTAACTATAATCTATAATATTCATAGAATAACTCTTTATATAATAATAATAATGAAGATAACTTACCTTGTCAGTTTAATTGCAAATTATAAATCATCTACCATCTTTTAATTATTGTCGCTTATACTTTAAAATTATTACTTTGTCACAAAATGCTCTCCTTCCTAAATTTGAAATTATATATATATTTAATTTCATTGGAATTAAATATAAAAATGATTGTGTATTCACGTTTTATAATATATACTTCCGGGGTATTATGTAAATATAATAATAAGTTTCCTCAAGTTATTTTTTTAAACAATTTTTGCTGTATATTATTGGTCTTATCTTTATTCATTTTTTTTTTTTTTTTTTTTTTTTTAGTAAAAAAAATATGTATGTATATTGTTTGATATGCATGCTTATGGAATATAAATTGACACATAAATTTATTACTTTAATGTAACCATATGTCAAGTTTTTGGAATAGAGCACTATAAACGGTTTTAAGGTTGAAGTTATAATAGTATTTACTATGAACTGTGTTCTTGATGCATTTTTTGATGTATGAAGTTTATTGTTTTTTTTTTTGGAATAATTTTTTTAATTTTTATCATTGATGTAAAATCGGCTTACATTAAGATGTAAACGCAAGACAGCTCTTCCTACTTTCCTGCATTTAAAGGACATTAAAAGTCAGTTGATAAGAGAGAAAAAGAAAAGAAAAAAAAATCCTTTATCGACCCCACTCCTTTGATATGGTTGACGTAGAGCCCTCGGCAGCTGTGCAAGGGAGGCATTCTTGCGTCATTGCCGATGTTGACGTCACTCCATTCACTCGCTCCAGTCGTCTTGTGCACCTCCTCGTCGTATACCTGTCACATATGGAGATTAACGTGTAATTTATGACGTCATTAAACATTATGACGTGATTAAAATTAACATTTCTCATGTCACGTATTTTCCAATTGAGTCGTTCATTTCCAAAGTGAACATTTTTATCATCAAGGTCCCATTTTGTATACAGCCAAAATCCACAAAATATGCAGTGAAAAATAACGAAATATGCAATAAATCGTCTAAAATATTCAATCGCTTAATTTGTCAAAAATTTTGATCATTAAAAAAAATTTATTGTAAATTTTTTCATTACTTTATATCAACGTAACTATAAAATTAATACCAATTTAAAAATTCAGTAATAGACAAATTGTTAAGGTTATGAGCCGGGACCGGATTTTTTAAGCAGTGAAAAGGGCATGAAGAAGAAGAATTTAGCCAAGTTTCATTGAAATCGGTACATTCGTTTAGGTGCTACAGTGTATAGCAACGCAGGTTTTTCGGCTCCATTTTGAAAGTAAAAGGCTGATAGTAATGTCGATGAAGGAGGATTATCCTCAGGTGACCTCTGATTATAAATCCTGCTTTAAAAAAAAAATCGGTCCAGTAGTTCCGTAGAAAATGCGCGGACGGCGTACGGACAAACAATTTTTTTTATTATTTTTTCGAATTCTGTGTCCTGAACGTAAAACCTCAAATTTTGAGAGAGGGTTAAGTTCTTAATCTTTTTGTTCGATTACAATGGTTCATTATTGATAATAATGAACCGAAAACAATATGAGATACTTATTAAACATTAAAATAATATTAATTTACAAAATAAATAAAACGCTGTTAATCAATACGCACCGTACTCTGCTTAAAATTAATAGACGAATTTCTATTATTTTTTATAAATTAACCTAATCTGTCGTTTTTTAATATTTTCATAATCAGAAAATGATCTTTTTACATCTACAATCAAAACCTATCACAACACATTACTATATTTTATCACGTCTTCTACATTATAAGCATTTTTATCATGAACAAACCGAGCCATGTTTCGAAATGAAATTAATAGTTATTTTACATTTTGAAACTCATTTTCCCTTCTTGGAAACACGAATGAATCTCCCGCATAACCCGAAGAAACAGTGTAAAAACGTTGGTAATGTTTTTTACATGTAAAAAGAAATCTTGACCTCAATTAAATCGCTAAATTAATAACTAATATGTTTATATTGGGTTAAGAATTTTATTTTAATTTAGATGATAGAATTAAATTGAGCTATTTGACAGTGCAAATAAAGGGCAAGTAAATGTTTTTTTTTTTACAATTTATTTATTTATTTTTTAAAATTATATTGTGCATTTGTTAAATGTTTTTCTCCTGTTCCATAATTAAAACCTAAAATATTCATGTTCTGACTCCATTGTCTAATAATTGTCATCATTTTTTTATCTGTCTGTCATTTATATCGTTAACCGTGGTTTGTACTCAATTTATAAGGGTGTATATATATATATATATATATATATATATATAATTTTTTTTTTTGGCGCCCCACGCTGAAGACAATTCCCGGATGCGCTCCTGTTGCGCGCAGGGTCGTCCAATTGAAACCATATGCATTTAAATGGTCCGCTAGTTTAATTTGGAGACCTGTTAAATCTAGAAGTACCGGAAACGGCTCAATCAAGCTCAATAGCTAAGTGTTATTATGGAATATTCCTTTATATAACTATCATTAACATAGTTAATATAAAAAAAAAATGTTCAGTTATCTTTTTTACATAAAAAAAGTAAGCGCGAAAATCCATTCAATAAGGATGAAACTTAACTAAAAATTTGGTCTTCACAAAACTATACATGAAATAACAAATCGATTTATGAACGTTCGTTAAAAATGACTGAACAAAATAATCAGCGATTAAGTGCATAATTGTAAGTGAAGAGGAACGTTAGAAAAAGTATACGTAACTATGCATAAAATGAGGAACATGATGTTTGTTTTAATTTGATTTGGTACACGAGAGTTTGTCGACCTGCTGCAAAGAGAGCGCTGTCGGTGTAATTAATTGAACGTGAAACTGTCGTTTTTTTCTTAATTGTTAGTTAATAATATTCTCTAATGTGTTTAATATTATTCTCTATCCTACTAGTTATTCATTCAGAGGTTCAAACACGATTGAACTAATGGCTGTCCTTAAAAAAAAAAAAAAAAAAAAAAAAAAAAAAAAAAAAAAAAAAAAAAAAAAAAGCCTAATGTATTTTCCTAAAATATTTATCTTATATTGCAACCAGTTTGAGGAGGTTTCCGCCATTATAAATTAACCCTTCACACTTAAGATTTTACCAAGAAAAACGTCAACTTAAATGTTATTGAGAAATTTGAGTAGCATTGGACCACGCCAGTGCATTCTTTTCCGTTTTGTTGACAGTGTTTTTTGTTTTTGTGTTGTGATGGTTGTAAAAACAAAAAATATTACGGATAGATGGAGTGGGGACCACTCTCATTACTTCCTTATATTCTCGGGACTCTTCATTAGATATTTCTTTAAATATTGTTTCCGTTGCTCCTTTCCTTTGCATCCAATTCCTCATCCAAATCGTTATTTTTGTCTACCACTTTCAGCACATAGTGTTTTTGAAATCGCTGTCATAAGAATATTGACTGTGATCAAACGTGTAGTTTGCGAGTACACAGGTGCAGTAGCTTTCCACTTTCTTGCCTACAGCTCGCATTTGTTTGACCGGGCGGGGCGAGTCATGATTTATGGAAAAAAGTTATCTCTTAAAGTATTATTGTTCGTGTAATTACATTTAAAAGGAATTTAGCAATCACTTCAACACCATTTTCATATAGGTAGTTAGTTTATTTTATTCTTTTCCAAAGTAATTATCGTTATTTTTATGAAAAAAAAAGGTTTCGGGCTGAAGCTTAAATCCTGGAATACGCAGGTACAATAGCTGTCCACTGTCAGGTCAGCCCTCAATTCGCTCTCGTACTATGTTATATTGAAACCTTCAGCGCCATCATACATTGTCTTCTCTTTTCATTGTAAAATTTTATTATTGACCTTCCTTGTTTTCAAATTTAAGATATAATGAACAAATTTATTTTATGTCATGTGATATTATTTCTGTAAGGACCAAAAATTTTTTATTATCTGAGAATGCGAACGTAATAATTTTTTCTTTGAGTGTCCCTTTATCTTTATCATGTCGCATCGACGCACTCTAGTTTCCGGAGAAACAGTCAGAATTATTTGTATAATGGTTCGATTGCGTAATTATTGCATAATGACACTAATTCAAACACTAGTGTGCAAACGTTTTTACATTTTTTCTTTCTTTTTTGTTTGTTGAGAGAGGAGTGGGGAGGGGGCAGATTTTCTGACATTGATATGTCGGATTGTCAGCTGTGTTGTCTAGATCTCTGTATGGAATTAGGGTCTTTCTCCAGTGGAAGATCCGTGTGGCCGTGGTGGAGGTGAAAGGACGCCCTACAACAAGGGACTTTCCTCACTTTCCAACCACCACTGTCTGGACGCCTCGTTCCTTCTTCCGGCTTCCAGATCTGTCTCTGTGTCTTCTGTCATTTGGCCACTCCATAAATAATGATAGCGAATCTTTCTCGAATGATAAATGAGGAACGCTTTTGTCTTTGTAGGCGTATTCATATTCATAATCAAGGAACCAATTCGATTGATACAAATATCAATGTCTAATTTCTTTTCTTTTAAGACCATTTTACACGGTCATATTTCTCGATTAAAACTTAATCCTGTAGTGAAGTACTTACATTTTCTACCATACGGAGAGATCGTCACAGATTTGAGACTTGATTTGATTCTCGATTCACCTGTCCATCTGTTTTTTTTTATTGAATATTACAACAATCTTTCTCTTGGACATTGGTTATAGTGAGGTAGGATGACATTCACACTATATGTACAAAAAAATATAAAATAAATAGAAGCAAAATAATAATCAAAAGTATATACAATAGATAATAAAATAAAATAACCTAAAAAATAAGAAAATTAAAACTATGCAAAAAAAAAAAAAAAAACACATGCATAGCTATATACACTATTTACAATCATGCAAGGGAACTCCAGGAGAACCCTGCGCTACTCTCTCTACCGCATCACTGGTACTAAAGCCAGCGGAGATTGATCGAGAGCACTTTAGCCACATACACTCACGTCTTGAGTGGAGAATCTGGCCATTGCCTAACAATCTACAAAAGGTCGCGAGGCCACTGCCGTTTCAACCTTCTTGGAGGATTATAGGGATGATAGGTGCTTGATAGGGATTGTACAAGAGGATTTGGGTGGTACGTAAGGTTCTGGTGAAATTTGGAGAATTTTTCCGGGATAAGGTCTTGGACAAATGGGATCTTGAGGTCATGATGTAGGGTTTTGTTGGTTACATAAAAAGGAGCATCGACTATTGTTCGAAGGACTTTTTACTGGTAGGATTGGATGCGCTTGATGTTACTGTCCATCTGTCATATTATCAAGCATACAATGTTTCCGAAATAAAAGGAGCGCTATTATATTTTGGTCGAGAAATTGCCAACTTTTCAATCATTTTGTTCGAAAAACGATAAAAACTGGTATACCATAGTGACAACTCCCATATTAGATATCTATCTAAGCCTCTCCTTAATGCATTTGACATGTAAGTGACATGAGGTTAACACGTTTATTCCTATATACTATAACATAATAGTATTAATATAATATTATCAACATAGTCTATTCAACACATACCGATGGTCAAGCTCCATTGTTTACCACGACTGTTGAAGTTAAAATTTACTTTACTCAATAAATGATTAGATTGTCCCACTGGAAAATATTCTTCCAGTTTGATATTTTAGCAATAAGACATAGCTTATTACAATATATATATATATATATATATATATATATATATATATATATATATATATATAATACATTATGTACAGTTTATATATATCCACTATCTTGTAATGATATATCTCTATTTGGTTAATCTTATTTCTTTTTTTAAGTGATAACTTTTTTAGGTGCGTTACGCACTTTTTTTGTGGAAAGTGAATTATATTAAGCTGTTAGATCTCCGAGGAGTAACGCTCGGATTAAGTCGGCTGGAGTCGATCTATTGACGTATTTCTGCATATGGATTGAAAAAAACTCTAAAACTAAAAATCGGACCTGCGTGTTATAAGCGAGGGAAATGTTCATCATTTCATCCTCTTTGTAATGAGCTATTATTCAAAATTGTATCTTAACGCGACGCCATATGTTAGGGAAACAAAAGAGAAAAAATAATTTCGAAAACTAAATTATAACTAATTTTATTGAAGATATGGATTAAAATATCTTAAAAACTAAAAATCAGACCTGCATACTGATACTGTAAGCGAGGGAATTGTTCTGCATTGCATACTCTCTGTTTTGGTCTAATTTTTATTTTTTATATTTTATATTATCTTGCCTTGTTTTCACTTCTATCGTGTGGTCTAAAGCACACACACCTTTGTTTTTTATTGTTGATTTTATTTAGATGTATTTTGTCTTAATTATTTTTTATTTTCATGATTAATTTCGAATAATCAAAACTCTTTCTAGTTATTTATTTACTAGCTTTTGAGAGAATTTAATAATTGTTTTGGAGTTTTCTTATCTTATTCTATTAATTTTGCTGTCAAAATCTTATCAGTTAGTGGATTTAGAAAATATTTCTTATCGCCGCTATAATGGAAATAATCTCACTCGATCAGATATATATATATATACTTATATTAATTTGTTTTTTACATTGTGCCGGCATAGGTGATGAAAGGATATCGCTGTTTAGTGATGTCAGTATTAAAATTAAACTGTTACAATAATAAAATAAATAAATATAACGATAGCCGCATCAAATCATTCCGATGGATTCCAGTGGAAAGTTAACACTCCTTGAAGGTTACAAAAAACATTTAAAAAAAATATAAGTAAACAAGTATCTATCGAATATTTTAATTTCAAATCAGACGTGAATATTTATAGAAATTAACTAAATGTACAATGAATTTGTGAAATAAATTAGGAAATAACAACACTGTGGATCATTATGAGGTTTCATCCTCCTGGATCCGTTCAACCTCAAACACTGATTTAACCACTGAGGCATTGGTGCTTCAATCGCTGAAGAAAGTAACGCATTGTATTGCTTCTATGGCTTCCATCGCTGTGTTAAGGATCGGTTTTATTCATTTCCAATGCCTTCTATAGGTATGTTTAAAATTAAATTTTTTTTGGTCAAAATATATCTGAGTTATCATTTATCTTTTTATATTACAGTAATCTACTACTAATTACACAAGAATTTTTTACGTCGAAGGTAAATTTTAACTGAAGTGCTTTGTATGTTGGTAGCGTTCAGGTTAAGAACCACTTTCATTGGCAAGATTTTGTTGAAATTCGATTTGAGTAATTTATTTAAATGGATTTGATTTGCAAACCTTCATTAAAAATAATTCATGAATAACAGCGCGTTCATTTGATCTTGGCCTGTGACAGCTTAAAGTTTCTCTGCGAATGAGTCATCAAGGATTTTTCATTGTTTGGTTTGAGTTTAGTGTAACTTAACCTCATTTGAATTGGAACGTTCGCTAGTAGTTCGTGTTGGAATTTGAAGAAAAAGAAACACCGTTTCGCACAATAGGTTTTTTTTAGTAAATTTACTTCAGATTTAACGTAGGATACATTTCAGTATCAGAGTTGAGGAACTGTTATATAACAATTTATTATTAATATCAAATGCCCTAGAATTAAAAACAAAAGATCCAGTTCATTACTATTACATAAGCCTCGTATCGAAACTCGAGAACAATTATAAATAAAATTTAGTAAGCAAAATAACAACTCTTTTCTTTTTTTTCTCCCCATGCCTGAATAATGCCTGCTTAATCAGCCACGGGTAATCTTGCAGTCCGATATAATTTCGTTGCCCTAGCATAAGGGTTTTCCGTTTTAAAATAACAACTAAATAATAATCAAAAACTACGTACAATAAGTAAAATAACATAAAGATAAGTAAAAAAAAGACATACATACCTATACATATACATTTTTTACAATCAGGCGGGACAACTCCAGACAGGCCTTTCTCTACAACTATGTAGGGTCTGGAAAAGCAGACTCCAGAGATCCCTGCGTTACTCACTCAACTGCATCACTAGTACTATAGCCAGTGGAGATTAATCGAGAGCTCTTTAAAATCAAAATTGAAAAAAAGTAATTAAACTGATTGTTTTTTTGTTTTTTTCTGTTGTTATATTGACTTGGAAGTACGTGATAGCTATGCTTCAATAAGATTCAGTCTGAAGCTCTCTATGAAAATAAATGATCTTTCTGAGCGGAGTTGGATTGCGTCCTGAATATTTATCACCCAAGAGTAGGATAGATTATAAATTTTATTATTGGGTCTCGGTACATTAATTTGTTTCTGTTACAAATAAACAGGATACATGACTGTCCATTAATTACTTCAAGAAGTCACATTTTATCCCTTTATATAACGATAATTTTATACATTTAATCAAATATCTAAAAATAATCGAAACTTCTTTTTCAATTCAATTCTATTTATCAAAATTCTTAGTTATTTAATTTTATGAAATATTATTAAATGAATTGTTCGAATAAACCAACGATATGACAGATAGATAGGGAACCTGCGTCCTATAGGCCGCATGTGGCCTCCGTCAGCTAGCTGCGGTCTCCTAAATTTTTGCGTATTGTTTTATTAATTTAGCAATAGCATTTATTAATATTTAATTATTTTGGTTACGAAAATTTGAAAATTAGTAGAATAAGTTGAATATATGTATATGGGTGTGTATATTTAATATAAATAAAAATAGCCTTTCTAAGGTTTTCCATCTATGTAATATACTCTATTCTATTATATGTTTTATGGGTATCATGATGTTGTAGGACTATTTATCTTTTATAGCAAAACATGGATCAATTAATTTTCATATGACGTTCTTACAAACAATTCGAAGCGATTCATACCCCATTCATAGAAAGTGCATTTTCTCACTACTTCATTCCCAACTAATTATTTTTTTTTTCTTCTTTATTCACTAACGAATTCAATTGTTATAATACATGCTAATTACTAATTATTTATTTAATTAGACATTAAGTAGTAAGATAGCTCCTCAATAAATTTCAGAAAATTATTGTTAAGATAATTTCACATGATAATGATTAGAAGACTCCTGGCCGTTGCTCCTTGATGCAGCCCATTAATTTCCTTCTTGGCTGACTAAGTGCAGTTGAATTCTTTTTTGTCCATGTAGTAATAAATTCACGTGTGTGGGATAGGGAATCATAATTGTAGTTTACTCTACACTATATATATATATATATATATATATATATATATATATATATATATATATATATGTATTCCCAGGGTGTCCCGTATGTAGAGTATGACTTTATCTCGTATGACTTTTCGATAGAAAAGTCGGAAATTTAAGTTTTGAGTTATTTTAAGTAAGGCATGTTCATTGTTTAATAGGAAGCGATAACTAAATTAAATATTTAATTTAAATAATTATCCCTTAAAATTTTCCAAATTCCATCAGAACCTTAT